GACAATCTACTAGTTCTAGACAAACTAAAATTGTATGGAGTTGAGAAATCACTTAAAGTAGTTCGGTCTTACCTGACAGGTAGCAAACAATATGTCTGTGTTCAGGGTACTAACTCCAGTGTTGTGGACATCAAAATGGGTGAGCCCCAAGGATCTGTTCTTGGACCTTTCTTTTTTATAATTGCCATCAATGATCTTCCAAAGAATCTTAAATCTAGGTCAGTAATATATGCTGATGACACATCAATTTTTGCCAAAAATTCAGACAAAATAGAGCTCTTCAGAGAAATCAGTGAAGCCCAGGGAGATGCTCTAAACTGGTTCTTCACAAATAAACTTCTTTGTAACCAAAGTAAAACCCAAAATATTATTCTTAGCACCTCCTTAAATCTAAACCTACAATCAGTAAAGCTATTAGGTATTCATATCGATTTCAAGATTTCACGGGTCAGCTATCTTTTTTGGAAGCTGAGGGATTCTGTGTCATATGAATACCTAAGAATGACTTACTTTGGTTTATTTCAATCCCATATATCTTATGGACTGGTTCTTTGGGGGTCATGAAACGGCCGTATCAGAAGTGCTTCTGATTCAGAAAAAAGTTCTTAGAATCATGTGCAGAGCTAATAGATTGGACCACCGTCGACCTTTATTTAGACAAATGAAAATTTTAACAGTAACTAACCTAAACATTCTACATATTCTAATTTACACTAAAACTAATCTTCACCTTTTCCTCACCAGGCAAGATATACACCTACACGAAACCCGAAACAGGAAAAACTCAATATTCCACAGCACAGATTGGCAAAATTCGGCACATCGCACAAGGCAAATTGTATAAAACTTTTCAACAAACTACATGAATCGGCAAGGACCACCAGACTAAAAATCTTCAAAAATAAGGTAACAGCTTGGCTTTAAGACAATCCATTTTATAATATTTATGAATATTTAAATACATGTGTAGAAATTAGTTTCTAGCTGTAACTTGTAGATTTATGACAGTTTTATTTTAATTAACTCTATGATAATTAAATGTCTATCTCATGTAGCCTATATGATCAACCGCAAATAAAGCATTTCATTTCATTTAATTTATATGTCTTGTAGGGACGAATACTTAAGTCTAATTTATTTTCCCTTAAGCCTTTGTGAAATTAATTAAAACATTCTATGGCAATCAGAGTTATAACAGAAACTGTATGGGTCAAAAATATACAAAATGAAGCCACTATCCAAAATAACCGAGCTGATTTCAACGTTTTATTTCGACAGTGCCACTTAAAAATTATTACAAACCTGTTTACTTTCGGACCAGTAACGTAATTTATGTTTATGACCTACCGTTTATGTTCTAATATCCGTACCAAAAAATCTGTCCGTGTTTATATCTGTACTAAAGTTCAGTAGGGCGCGTGCGCCAAACGTCCTACTGCAGCTGCGGCATTGTTGTCTCAGTCAGCTCACTCACTCGTTCTAGGTAAGTTCGAGTTTTCTGTTTTCTGTTTAAGTGCTTGCATGCCTAGGATAAATCAATGTATGTAAAACATAAAAAAATGTAATTAGTTAATTTATTTGTGTGAATTCAAATAGTAAAATATTTCTATAATGTTCCAAGATTAGAAATTACGAGTAAATGAGAATATTTCGAAATATCACTCTGTTATTTATTTACGAGAGCTCACCCCGTGGTTGAAAACTCGACCAAAAGTATGTATTGTACGAACTTCTCCATTTTCACCCCACGCTGTAAATAAAACATGTGATTGGAATATCTTCCATTTGTTTTGATTTTCTGTTTACATTTTGTTTGTTACTTCGCCACCAACATGGCAACCCATAAGACCCATGATAATTATTTTTTTTAAATTTAAATTCATTTTTGTGCTGATTTTTGAGCCTATTTTAATTTATAAAGTGATTCTGTACATCTACAGGAAAATATCTTTCATTAGGTACCAACTGCGTGTAATTCGGTCCAGTAGTAGGCCTATGGCCAGCTGCCATAAGTTTTTTAGTATATATAGTGAGGTTGCTTAGGGGTTTACTTTAAGAATACTGTTACCTGGCGGATAAAAGCACAAAATTTGGCATGAAGGTACTTTTAGGGTATACTAATAAATTTTTGCCTAGGACCCCGCTTGAAGTCTTAAACTATTCCATGCACGGTACCAAAATCCAAAATGGCCGACAAATACGTTCAAAAATCACTTGTGAATATATATTTACGAGAGAACACCACTACAAATAACAAAATTGCACCAGATTATTGTGATGTTGTGTTTATAAAATAGTTTAACCGTATTGGATTTAATATATCTACCGGATACACAGGCATAAGGTAACGTTATAACTATAAATAGCGGTTTTTAATTTTTGACACGCAGTTAATGTTGCGTTTTATTGTTGTAGTTTGTTGGTGTTATATGTTATGTTTTGCGGTATAATGTGATTACCACCATATTCAGCTAATATTGTTGATTTGTATATTTTGTCTACTATTTTATATGACATAGTGGATAAAAATGATATTACATAATTCATTTAACATTGTAGTTCATATCATGCTACGAAACGGCACCTACAATATCCACCATAAAAGGTAAGATTAGAGATTAGAGATAAGACCCAAAGCAAGCAATAAATGTAACATAACAAGTTAGGGTCATATCTCAAACCGTTTTCCGTTTATCTCTCTGTGTGTGTTTTTTACTTATTAGCCTACGTTATATCTTCAACCTTTAAAGATATAAAAACTTAAAACTTGGTACATGTATTACATCCAATAAGACCCATCTTTGTATGGAATATCAAGTTTCTACTTTGTACCATTATAACATAGTGGCCGTTTGTTTTTCAAGCCTGATATCGCTGTATGAATATACATATTACATGTACAGGGTGTTTATAAAAAATGCCGGGATTTTAAACGGTCGTTGCTCGGGTATTATTCAAGATAATTAAATGATTTAAACGTCAAATTGAAGGGAAAAGAGCAACGTTTTTCTCATACTTTGATACAGTTCGGAATAATATAATAAAACTCAGATTTTTACCAATCTTATATGAGTGTAAAACTTGCTAAGTCTGTACGCTTAGTGTGATCGGCGGGTTTATCTGATGTCTTGATTGAATATTTTTAGGCACAAAGACTTTTTTTCTTACAGGTGTTCTTTTAATGTTAGGTGTTTTAGTGTAAGGTAAACTTAAGACTTCGTCGGGTAATCGAATTTTTGGGCTTCTGATGCAGAATTGTCGGATTTCTTCGACTATGTCATCGCTTGTTTGTCATTTGTTTATGTTTATTATCCGTACCGGGTCTGTTCAAGTACTCGTGACTATGACCACAGAAAACGTACTATAGATAAAACATACTCCTATAACCCAGAATGCCAACCGCATGCGGTTGGCATTCTGGGTTATAGTAATAGTAGTACGTTTTCTGTGCTATGACTGGCCCTTAGTTAATATTAGTCGTAAAAAAACAGCAATTTTTACTGTATTCCCAAGAAAAATATCAGCAGACAATTAGGTTTTAAACGAGATATCATACCACATATATTTATTTTTCTATGTTTAAAAGTGTGTGACTTAGGTATACACAATAGGCCTATTTTATAGAGTTTATAAGATATTTTATGGTAAAACTGCTTGAAAATTTTGCTCCGGTTTAGCTTTAGACCTCGGCAAAAGATCTCCCCCCTGAGGGTTTGACAAGGATTGCCTCCTGGCAATGAATTGATACACTGCAAGTACAAGATACTGTGCGAGGCTGGGGTTTAATGAATTGATACACTGCAAGTATCAGGGCACTGTGCGAGGCTGGGATTTAATGAATTGATACACTGCAAGTATCAGGGTACTCTGCGAGGCTGGGGTTTAATGAATTGATACACTGCAAGTATCAGGGCACTGTGCGAGGCTGGGATTTAATGAATTGATACACTGCAAGTACCAGGGCACTGTGCGAGGCTGGGGTTTAATGAATTGATACACTGCAAGTATCAGGGCACTGTGCGAGGCTGGAGTTTAATGAATCGATACACTGCAAGTATCAGGGTACTGTGCGAGGCTGGAGTTTAATGAATTGATACACTGCAAGTATCAGGGCACTGTGTGAGGCTGGAGTTTAATGAATTGATACACTGCAAGTATCAGGGCACTGTGCGAGGCTGGGATTTAATGAATTGATACACTGCAAGTACCAGGGCACAGTGCTAGGCTGGGGTTTAATGAATGGTTTAACTGCAGGTATCAGGGCACTGTGCAAACCTGGGGTTTAATGAATTGATACACTGCAAGTATCAGGGAACTGTGCGAGACTGGGGTTTAATGAATTGATACACTGCAAGTATCAGGGTACTGTGCGAGGCTGGGGTTTAATGAATTGATACACTGCAAGTACTAGGGTACTGTGCGAGGCTGGGGATTAATGATATGAAACACTTAAAGTATCAGGGTACTTTGCGAGGCTGGGGTTTAATGAATTGATACACTGCAAGTACCAGGGTACTGTGCGAGGCTGGGGTTTAATGAATTGATACACTGCAAGTATCAGGGTACTCTGCGTGGCTGGGGTTTAATGAATTGATACACTGCAAGTATCGGGGTACTTTGCAGGCTGGGGTTTAATGAATTGATACACTGCAAGCATCAGAGTACTGTGCAAGGCTGGGGTTCAATAAATAGATACAATGCAAGTATCAGGGTACTGATATTTGAACTTTATACCTTAGTCTAAAATGTTCATAGTGGTTAAATAACGCTAGTACCTAGTAATAAATATTTCACTGTAGCGAATTTAATTGTTTTTTGTCAAATAGATAGGCCTATTTTATTTATTTTAAAAGTAGGTTCCAGTAGTCTAAAATATAGATCATATCAAATGTTTGTAATTTCTGTAATCCGTAGTCTTTTATATTTTAATTTATTTCTAGCTGAAGAAAACTATGACTTTTTGCTAAATTTAATTGGTTATTGTTATGTATTTCAGATGGTATTGCACGACTATCAGCTCGAAAATGTTCGGTTTCCTTTCATGCACGAAAAGGTAATCAAATTTTTTACCACACCATAAACTATAGGTACAAACATTGAAACAACCATTAACCTTACAAAAAAAAAAAAAAAAAAAAAAAAAATGTTCAGCTATTTAAAGCAATTAATGCCCTGAATTTAGATATTGGGTGGTATTAAAAGCTAAATACAATTTAAACCCGCTTTGTTCTTTCTTGCCTTTGTCAACTTTTACTTGGTTTATTCAGTTTATGCATCAATCCATCTATCTATCTATATATTAATTACGTACCTTATGTCCCTACAAGCCACTAAGTTAGTATGTTTTATTTAACTTATACAAGTTCTATTTCAGTCCAGTTTCTGAGACTCACTCAAAAACCGACCTGATTGGTTCTGGTAATGTTTTAAAGAGAAAAAACAACTCAAATGAGGTAAACTATTAATTTTGCATATTTTAGTATTGTCTTAAATTTTTATAATTGTGGTTGTGGTAGACTAGTAATTCTTAGTTTTTGGTGGTGGTACTGTTTGTATTATTGTTTATATTTTTGGAAAGGTGGTATTGAGCCTATTGTTGTTATTTTCTATTGTAGTATTATGGGGCTACTAGTTTTGTAACTTATTTGTAGTTATATTTAAAAATATGTTATTTTTATCTGTGATAGAAGTTGTATTGTTTTTCCAGCTTAAAGTCAATAAACTTACATTTTTCTCATAAGAACATTTAAGTAGGTGAATTTTGAGTTTCCTGGCACATTTTGATGGAAAAAGTTTGAAATTAACTGTTTGGCAGCCAAATTTCATTTTTTTTATAATGTTGCCTAGCCTATACACACTACCTTGAGTAGTTATTGTAAAAATCAGAGTTTTTTTCATAATTGTATGGGTTTTTATGAAACAATCACCATTAAAATATTTTTTTAAAATTAATAAACTCCTGGAGATACCCTACTTTGGTCATAGGTGTATAGTCTCTAGCTCTGTACACACAAATAAATAATTTCAAAAACCACTTTTTTGGGTCCAGGTAGACCCGAATCGGATATTTCCACTCAAAATTCAAACTCGAAAACTTTGACAAAAACAATACCGTACTTACTTCATACACTATAAAGTACAAAGTATGTGCTTTTGAGAATAACGTTATCTTTTTTAGTCAAAAACTTGTGATTGGAGTATCAAATAGGATTTCTTCCAGCTACGATGGTCATGGAGTTTTTATTTTCCAGTTTGAGTCCTCGACTGTCCCTGAACAGCTGTTGTTCTTCCTGGGTTTTCTCGCTGCGGTCTTCATGGGGACTGTATTCCCTCTCCTGTTCATAGCATACTCAGAATTCGTCAACCTTATGATAGCTCGACAATCAACTGATTGTATCATCTCCAACAATTACATTTTACAGCTGTTTGGTGGGGGTAGTACCAAGTATGTATGAAGATTTTTGTTGTGTACTTAATGAATTGTTAATATTAATTCACAATAGAAATAAAGGATTTGTATTTGTTCCATGATGGTTAGAATTATCAATCTCTGTGTTTATTTTATTACTAAAATTGGTTTTGTCACTTGTTACTGAACACTGTACATACAATGTGAGTGTGTAGTTGTGACGTAAATTTCGGTGTGGGGACAAGATAAAGTAAAATAACGTCTTTCATAAATATTTAACAGTTTTGCCCCACCAAAATTAATCACACCTTAAATCCGTCCACATAACTACGAGATAGCCAAGGGGGTGTGAACGAGTTTATATTAGTTATTGTTTCAAGATTGTTGGAAAAGAATATTTATTAAAATAATGTTAAAAACTTTATTAGCTTACCTTCAGAGGGTGATAATCACAGACACTCAAAATATACGTTTGGGCCAAAAATTTTGGAAAATGCACACGTATAAAATAATAATAATTAATTAATCTAACACAGCGTCTACAACGTAAAATGAAATAGGAATGATTTAGAGTACTTTGTAAACGCCAAAACCAGAAATATAGAATTCACACTTTTTCTTTTGTAAATAATCAAGCCTGGAACATGTGCAAACGTCAAAAATTCTGACACTATCAGGAAACGAAATAGATTACTGTAGGCGAGAATTAAGACGTCCCATGAGCCATGGTTTATTCTAAAAATGCAGGCGCTTGCTACTCGACATCGATATATAAACACATTCGTATGTTTTTTATATATCGATGCTACTCGACGGCTCGACGCATGCTCATGTTTCACGCGGCAGTCAGGGCTCACAACCACAGCGTTAAAACCAAAAGAGATAACTGTTATTTTAATTTATTTTTAGTACCGTACTCGACTTAATTAATATTATAGAAGTACAATACATGTACGTCAAAATGGCCAGGCCAAACAAATTCAAAATTGAATATTAAAGTTTACTCACAGATGTACCATTCTTTTATACTTTAGCAAAACTATTCAGAAAACAAAACCAACTTTCTTAGCTGTTTTCTAGGCTTTATTTAACTGTAAATTATTTTTTATTTATAATTGTTTGGTTTGTGGATTTAAACTTATAAATTTATACATAAAAACTTCAAAAAGCTTATTAATTTTTAATGTTGGCATAAAAATTTATGACTTACCCTCCTTGATGCACAATATACTATTTTGTTTTGGTTGGTTCTATGTGTTGCCAAATAGCGTAAAAATATGATTTAAATCTCTATTTTCAGAAATTTTCCAAGGAAAGGCCCCGGACCCCTCAGGTGTTTGTTAGACCTATATCGTTGACTGTACAGTCAACGCCTATATATTGCACCTCCCTGTTCCAAATCCTGCGGGCGCCCATGTTTCTGTATTTCTTTGTCAAAGTGCATAAGTTGCACTTGTGGCGCACTGAAGTAACTTGAGCGATTGTCACTGTATTACTCATCTGTTGCTATTATAGATAATAATCTACTTACGTATCACGTATGCCAGTTGGTGTCAATTATTAATACTTGAATTATGCTGTACATATTTCAAGCCTAAATACGGCTCATCTTCAGCAGCATTTTTCTATGTACAATTTTTCACATCGAAAGATGATTGTCGACTATATACAGACCACATATACACACAAACACAGAACGTTTTAGCATGCTATTTTTATTTACACGTGTTTTTGTAGCGTACACTCGTTGAGATAATACCCGACCGGACGACATTTGTAGGCCTACTATTTGTCACTGTCACTCCCTCTTGCTGAGAGAGGGTGGTCCACCTACAAATACCGCGCGGCAACATACGAACATTGCTGCATATCGCTTTGGCTCAGAGGACTTCTTAACTCTCGCCTACAGTAGGTGGTCTACCCTTCCCAGTGATTGTACCGTATCGAATTTTAATATCGGCTATTGCCAGATATTTTTGCGTGGAGATCGTGTAGTCTATGTTTGGTAGCTGAAAGACGACTGCTTGTTCGGAGTGCTTCTCCAGCAGCACTCTTGTCTCGCTCCTGGCGCAAGGTAGATAACTACAGCCATCCTCTCCTTAATACCATCACCACGTCCAGTGTTTGCTGCACTCTTTGTATGAGCCAAATCAACTTATTTTGGACGCTCAGAAAAATACCACCCCTCATTAAAACATTGCCCGTTAAAAGATAAACATACAGTACTGCCAAAGTGTAAAAAATGTGGTTCGGATTCCACTATAAACTGTAGGTCCCTTAGTTGCCATTAGCTGAATGGGCTATTAATTAACAGCTGTGTCTAATGAATGTCGGCCTTAGTCACTAACAAGACTACAAGATTGCGCCACTCATCTCCATTCATACTTGGCTTAAAATACCTACCTTGTATGGTCGCCATTTTATTGAACAGTAACATGAAGTTTGTGGTAAGATATCATAAAACATTATACTTTGTTCACAAAATTTAGGCAGTTTTAGGGGAAGAAATCCATCCCTGCACATCTTGATCCTACCATTAAAACAAAGCTCAACAGCTGACATTTGTCAAAACGTCAATCAGCTGTTACATATACTAAGCCGAATAAAGTGTTGGGGGAAGTTTCCCTCAAACAGCCTAAATATTGTGAACCGAGTACAGTAAATTTACAGTTACCTATAACAGTTTTTAGTTATTGTGAACTGGGGCCCATTTCATAATAAACTACAAGTTACAAGTAACAACTTGCAACTTGTAATTTCCATTAGATTTACATTGGACGATCAGCTGATTTACTAATAATATTAGTTTGTAGTTTATTACGAAATGGGCCCAAGTACTGTTTAATTTAGACCTATTTCAACAGTTCCAGTGGTACATATGAGGAGAGGATGGATCGTTTGCTCGATGATTCCCTGGCTTTTGTCATGGCTGAAACTTCTGTGGCTGCAACAATGTTTGCCTTTGCCGTCCTTTCTGTATACTTGTTAAACTACTCTGCTCAGAAACGGGTAAATATTGATTGAATCAATGTATTTAATAATGTAAGCTGATAGAAAACATAAAGGTTTCACAAGTTCGCTGCGGGCCACTCACCGGTGAGTGGCGACATCGCCTACATTTCATTCAATTTCTGCACAGCAGTACACCGGGAAGAACAGGCATTTTTATGTCTGCCTTTAGCTAGCAATTGGGTGCTTTATTGTGGTGTAGGTTGGTAGTAAATTTCCCCGTAAAATCCCCTTCTGGAAAACTTAGAAATCTTCTTGCTATACCGTCTTTCTCCCTCTTATTGGCAATACAATGGGACCGGCTCGTTCCCAAGCAGTGCTGCTATCTGTGAGTGTTTCAGCAAACTACAGTACAGTAAACAGTACATCGACCTTTGTCGCAGAAAATCACCTTACGTCATTACATCCGTTTCCATCGCGGATTACTCCTCTCATAATGCGCATGCGGGAGTAAACTGTTCCGTGGAACTGTGACATATATCAGATGTTAGATTTATCATTTTCAGATTCTGTTACAACGTTTAAAAGGAATTGAATATAGCACACAGGACAGGTTGTACCAACTAGCCTGTGCTTTGCTTTTACTTTAGTCTACTTTCAAGTTCTTGCTCATCCGTTTGTTTATTTTTACTCTAGACCTATCTCAAAATGTAAACTAATATTATGTAAGTTAAGTTATGCTAGTTAAGTATTTACAAATTAATTGATACTTAAGTTATTTTAAGGAGCAGAGAACGAGGAGAACATGACAGAAATAGAACAACAGTATGAACAAGTTGAGTCTTTTAAATATTTAGGAGTTATTGTCAGCTCACAAAGTGAGGAACACATAGAAATAAAGAATAGAATAAACCTAGCCAGTAGAAGTATGTATGCTCTAAACATTATTATCATCAAGATTATTGTCTCATCACACTAAACTTAAAATTTACAAAACTATCATAAGACCTGTCCTTCTCTATGGAGCTGAAACCTGGATTATCGATAAAAACACAGAGAAAAAACTTATTACTTTTGAAAATAAAGTCCTGCGCAAAATCTTTGGCCTTACTAAAGAAGGAGATGTGTGGAGAATTAAACATAATCAGGAACTAAGAGACCTGTTCACGGAGCCAGATATAATTGCAGAGGCTAAAAGCAGGAGGCTTCGCTGGACGGGCCACATCATTAGAAGAGAGGAAGCTAGCACACTTTATCAAATATGGAAAAGTGACCCACTGGGGAGGAGACCACGAGGGAGACCGAGGAAACGCTGGACAGATGAAGTAAAGAAAGATATGACCAGGATGGAAGTTAATGAAGATACCGTAAGAGACAGGGCGACGTGGAGGCAGTGTGTTGGTGAGGCCAAGTACCACTTGGGGTACAAATGGCCATGGGAGTAAGAGTAAGTAAGTTATTTTAGTTTGTGTTGAAACTATAAGCACTTCATCGTTTCGCACTGTATGTTCGAGTCAGTCATGAATAAAGTATATTACACTCTTGTTTATCAAATGTAGTGATTATGGTAAAGATTTTGGAATAATAAAAAGGAATGTGAGAAGATAGGTTCCTTTGTAGCACAGCGATGAAGTTGGCCTGACCTATAGGCGGTTTCAGTCTAGCTGTTAATTTCAGAATATACGTATGTTTACTCCGTGTTTTGACTGCATCTATGTTACCTTCTTACGTATACAAATGGCCGAGTGGAATTGGATTTTTCCAATTGCCTTACCTGTGTCATCATCTTAATGTTGGGTTGGTTAGGTTAAAAGTAGACATAAAAATGTATTGACATTTTACAACTAAGGAAAAGAATACAACATAGGATACATAGAATACAATATAGGAAAAGGAGTAATCCGCGATTGAAAAGGAAGTACGTCACTTGCTATTTGTCAGACCGAAATATTTGAAAGCTAAACGGGTTCGCTCGATGCTGCACCGTACCGGGACCACGCCTGCCATTAGTGGGCCTCAGCGAACAAGTTACGTGTTAACGTGTAACAGTTTAAAGTGGATATGTTAAAGTGGTAATGCTTTGGTTGTGCTTCTTTTGATTGTTGAATCAAAACCGTTGATTTGAAGAAACATTATGTAAAATCCATTTATGCTAAAATGGATTTTCTTTTATTCCTCTTCTAGCCCTGAATTGTTTTCCACATGACTTCATCAGACTAGGTCAAAAGGGGGTTGGGACATTATCACTTAGATCAAATCCATTGGTGATTGGTGGGATTTGAACCTAGGACCTCAATGAACCCAAAGTCCTGCACTGTACCACTAGACTAGTTCCCCTAATCAAAAAGACATACTACTTCCATTTAAATAACAGTCTCTTTTCTGTTATTCTTTGAAAACAGTAGATTGAATTTGATCCAAGTTTTAGAATATAGGAGTTGTGGCTTTATAACCGTCATCACTGTGTGACTAGGTAGGCAGAATCAGAAGACATTTCCTGCGAGCTGTTCTCTACCAGGACATTTCATGGCACGACACGCAAAACACTGGCGCTTTTGCAGCACAATTAACCGAGTAAGTAAATTCAGATTTATACAGGTTGACATTTTTTATTATTACGCTTTATAGAGAGATTACAATCTTTAATGGTGGTGAAAAGAAGCCCCCATCAGGAATTATCATGAGGAAAACCGAAACAAAGAGGCTTTAATTATATTTTTCTGATGCCCTTCACACCTGAGGACGGGATCATATTCTAGATCCTGAAACGTTTTGTAAACTTGTTTTTTTTACTAATCGTTAATCCTTATGGAACCCCCGTGCGGTACCGGGTTAGAATAGCACCGCAGCCTTCTCGGGCTTGTCGTAAGAGGCACATAAAGGGTGACCGACGTTCTCACTGGGAGTCCCTGGGAGTGCCCCTGTTGTGTTGCAGGGGTTGATGTGTGCTCTGCACTGCCGATGGGTATTCTCAGTGGGTCGTGAGAAGCCAGCCACTTCGGTCCTTGGTCAGGGAGTGCGGCATGGATGTAGAGGTCGGGCTCTGCATTGCGACGGGCGACCCCCGGCACGTCAGGTATCCGGTGCTGGGCCAACGGAGGTCGGGCCCAGGGGAACTGGGGTAGGGGTTTTTGTCCCCGAGGGTATACTCGTTCCTGACTGATTCCGGGCCGCTCCTTGCCGCACAATGCGCTGGAATAAACACAATAGCTTTTAATACCCCCAATAACACATTTTCGATTAAGAGCTCAAATGAGCAAGAAAAGAAGTTGGAACTGGAGCGGGACCCTCTTGTTCGTAGCTCCAAGGTTCAGAGATCGCCACCACCGAAAAACGTGAGGACATCTCCGCCACCTGCACCTTTTAAATGCACTATAGTTAAATACACACCTTGTTAATGGCGTTGCCAGCAACTCCCCTGCCGATCAGTTCTGCTGTAGGGATGCCGGAGGAGCCTTTCACAGCAACGTTGAGGTCGGAAGGCTCTGAGATGGTGCTTCTGCGTCAGGAATATCTTGACGCAGAGAGTAGCATCAAAACCCGTCTCCGAGACATGGAAGTGACGATTAAGGCTATGCTGGACACCTTCCGGACCCAGAAAGCCGTAAACCAAGTGGTCAAAAACGACATGGCCAAACTAGAGGATGACCTTGGCTTCGTTTTTGCCTGCCGGGTGGTGAGCAAGGCGGCCATGGAGAAGATTGCCGAGAAGGTTTTGACTCTGTCTGACGAAAGAACGCTGCCTTCTAAGAAACATAAGAGGCCTTCCACATCGGACAGTCCTCAAAAAAGAGAAGAAGGCGTTCAGACCAAAAGGACCAAGGTAAAGGCCAAGGCGACTCAGACGGACCTATTGTCTGCTGTGCCCAGATCCTTTTTGGACATAGCTGCAGCTCCTGTGAAGAACCAACAGCCACAGCTACCTACGAACCTAGCTCTACGACCCAGTTGTAGAGACACCTGGGGCTGCTTGGGAAAAACGCCATCCCGAAAGGAGAAGAGGCAATTGAAGCGGGCGGAGGTCGCCTCTATAAAGAATGTGGCAGTGAAGGCACAGCCGACCGGTGTGGCCCAAACTGGGCCTGGCTCGGTCTCTGCTCCGAAAAAGTCCCGGCCAAAAAAGTCCAGGACGGAGGCAATCCTGGTCAAACCCTCAGGGGGGAGATCTTTCTCCAAGGTATTGGGTGCAATTAAGGCCAAGGCTAAGCCAGAGCAGACCGATACGGTTGTACGGTCGATTAGACGAACCTGGGACGGGGACGTTCTCCTTTAACTGGGTAAGTCGAAAGACAAAGCAGCCTTTACTGCCGAACTGAAGGCAGCTGTTGAAGGCCAGGGCACCGTCCGTGCTCTCGAACCCAAGACATCAGTCGAGGTTCGAGACATTGGTTGTGTGTCGACGGAGGTTGATGTTGTTGAGGCCCTGAAGAAAGCTATCCCCGAGCTTGGCAGGCAAACAGCTTTTCTTAAGGTGCGGCTCACAAAACGGAATAGGAGTCAGCAGCCGATGGCGGTCGCCGAAATGGCAGATGCACATGCCAATAAGGTGCTGGCACTCCAGCATCTGAGAGTCGGCTGGGTCATCTGCAGGCTCAGACGGAGAGTGGAAGTGAAGAGGTGTTTTAAATGCCTCTGTTTCGGCCATTCCTCCCGAAACTGCAAGGAACCCGACCGAAGCAAGAACTGCCTTCAGTGCAGGGAGGTCGGTCACATCTGTAAGGACTGCCAAGTCGAGTCCTTTTTCCTTTGCAAAGAAAATGGGCTCGCTGACAAACACTTGAAGCATATAGCTGGGTCTGGACAGTGTAGTGTATTTAAATCTGCACTACAGCAAGCGAAAGCCCTCGCACGAAGATAAGAATCCTTCAGTGCAATCTTGAGCGATCCAGGACTGCTGATGCACTTCTATGTCAGCTTGTCCTAGAACAGATGTCGACACGCTCTTAGTCAGCGAACAGTACCAGTACCCGTGATAGGGACCCATCTTTTTGGTTCCCTGATAGTCTTGGTACTGCTGCATTCTGGGCGCGTAATGCAGCTAAAGTACAAGTACGGGGTCACGCAAAGGGCCGAGGTTTTGTTTGGGTTCGGTGCCGGGATGTCACTTACTTTAGTGTTTATGTAGCGGTACTGGGTTCATAGGATCGAATTGCGTGCTACCATACTAAGTCAGAGTATTTTATTTAACTTAACTAAATAACTGAGCCAAGCCACATCTATATCACAGCCATTTTAATGATCTAAATTTAGTAATGCATTCAACCAATTATACTAATAAATAAGAATAAGCTAAAAAAAACTCCCTGTTGTCACTGTACTGTTGTCTCAGTTTTTACATAATATAATTATTTAATTATTATCCTATCAAATCTCCGATAAAAGGTGTTCCACTTTGAACTTCTAAACATAACAAGATGCAGGAAGACAGAAAAGACTCCACCAAGCAATGATGTGAGTCCTGTGCACTCTAAACGTATTAGGAGAGCACCTCAAAAACTGGACTTGTGGAAAATGTGGTAAATCGCCTTGCTAAGAAACATATACTGTTAGTCTATATGAGTTTTTTTGTTTCATTTTATTTAATATTGGAATTTAAATAAGCGGGGAGGAGATGTTATGAATTTAAAATAAAATGGATAATAATAATTTTTATGTTTTTATGTCCAACACCGTCCTATATATTGAAATGAAGCGAATAATGTTTTTGAAAAGCTGACAAGTACCCTGAATAAAGCAAAAAATACAAACGTTATTATAGTAGATATACCAAAGAGATATGATTTGGCACATTGGTCTTGTGTAAATAAGGAAGTAACAAGAACAAATAAGCGTCTCATGGAACGAAGTGAAAATTATTGTAATGTCTCGGTGATCAAAGCAAGCGAAGCTGACAGACGTTTGTACACCCAACACGGGCAACACCTCAACCAGGATGGCAAGAGATGGCTATGTAATCTAATAGCTGAAAAAATGGCTTCATCACTGTCTGGTCCAAGAGGATGCCTGCAGGGAGTGGAAGAGCAACCGCCTCCTCCAGGAACTGAGTATCTGTCGGAAAACTCGACCCGTCTGGAACAACCCAATCAAGTCCATCAACATCTACAAGCGCAGATGAACCCATAGATATTTGTCTGTCAGAATCACTAGATGTGTCAAGTAAGCCTAGTTTTAATAATCCTTCTATTGTAAATAAAAATGAGGATGTTATAGTATTTAATGTAGCTCACTGGAACGTGCAAGGCCTCACAGGCATTGGTAAAGTTGATGAAATAATAAGCTTAGATGACAGTTTTGATTTAAGTGCCCTGTGTATTTGTGAACATTGGGTTGGAAGTCACAATCATTTATCAGATATGACTATCCCTGGATTTGAATTAAAAAGTGCTTATGTAAGACAATCAGAGGAGAGGGGTGGCACAGCAATATTTGTCAAATCACACATTAAGTGTGAAGAACTAACCTTTCTCGTGGATTTATCAATCAAAAATGTCTGTGAGGTTGCTGCAGTTTTCATTAAAGATGTTAATGTTATATGTTTAGAAATTTATAGGTCACCAGGCCTAGTACTCGTGGTGGTAAGGATGGCACATGTATTGATAATATATCAGTATCTGTGCTTTCTGAAAGGATCAATTTAGCCTTGGTGGTACCGATGGTTGTTTCTGACCATCATGCTTTAATTTTTGGTAGTAAATTTGAAGTCTCTGCAAGTAGTAACACAAAACGACATGATAACAGAAATATCAAAATAACCAGACCAGTATATGATTTAAATGTTGCTTATTTTACATGCTTATTGAGTAAAGTTAATTGGTTATCTTTGTACAGATTAGATGGTATTGAGCATAAGTTTGAATTCTTTATGGAAGTATTTATGAGTACGGTTGAAGTTGCTTTTCCGCTTCAGCATAAAAAAACAGACAAGAACAGGCCTAAAAAGTTTAAATGGTACAATGCTAGTCTGCATTTACTTAAAGAAGAGTGTCTGTTTATGTACAGTAAATTTAAGAATACTGGGTGTGCAATGTACAATGTTCAGTATAACAGGCTAAAATCTGAATACCTATAAAAAAGCAGTGAAACAAGCTAAACTAGCCTATAACTCTAGTAGGGTAAAAAATGCCAATAATAAACCTAGGGTCATCTGGTCTATTGTAAACGAGGGTCTGAACAAAAATGAGAGGCCTTCTGTTGATAAGGAATCACTAAGCTTAAATTGCACCATGTTCAATAACTGCTTTGTTGATAATGTAAAGTCAACTGTTCAAAGAGTTCCAAAGGCCAATGAAAGTGTTCAACATTATTTAAATAAACTGAGTCCTTTCAACAACGTACACAAGTCTTTTACATTCAATAATGTGTCCGTTGAACAAGTGTTCAGAGCAATCTATTCTTTAAGCGATAGCTTAAGCTTGGATGTATATTTTATTAATTCTCAGATCTTGAAATTAGCGGCACCATACATTGCTGAAATACTTTCATACCTGTTTAATCTTTGTATTGATGAGGGTGTTGTTCCACATTGTTTAAAATTAGTGAAAGTTATTCCTATCTTTAAAAAAGGCTCAAAAGTAAAATATGAAAGCTACCGTCCTATATCAATAATTCCAGTTTTGTCTAAAGTGTTTGAAGTTTTGTTAAATAATCAAATTAAAATATTTTTTGAAAATAGATTACTGTTTTCTGATAGTCAGTATGGCTTTAGGTCTAATAGGGGAACAAGTACAGCAATTGTCAACTTCACTAGAGATTGTTTATCGGCATTAGATGCTAGAAAAAAGGTATGTAGTAGTTTTTACGATATGTCAAAAGCATTTGACACTGTAGATCACACAGTACTTATGCAAAAGCTTGGTTTTTATGGGTTTGACACAGTTTCTTTGAATCTGATTAAGTCTTATTTGTCACAGAGGTACCAGTCTGTCTTATTTAATGGCTGTTTTTCACCATATTTGCCAGTGTCTACAGGTGTGCCTCAGGGCTCGATATTAGGTCCTACTATTTTTATAATATATGTTAATGACCTACCTGCTGCCATTTCCAATGAATATGTGATACCTTATATGTATGCAGACGACCTGGCCATACAAATCAGCTGTAATAGTAATAGTGGTCTCTTAAATGATCAGTTACTACTCAAGTCTAATAATTTAATTGAAGACTGGGCTGCAGCCAACATTTTATGCTTAAACAAAGAGAAGACACAAAGCCTAAATTTCAGTTTTGGAAATTCCTCTGATGAAATGTCAAGTGTTAAGTTTTTAGGTATTACTTTACAGACTAATGTTAAGTGGGATGAACACATTAAATCTTTGTGCAATAAGGTAGCTAAAGCAATCTTTATGATTAGAAGACTTAAGTTAATTGTTAATATTGATGTTTTGGCTGCTGTGTATTTTGCACATATACAAAGCCACCTGTCATATGGTATAGTGTCATGGGGTTATGACAGTAATACAATAAAATTATTGCGGCTTCAGAAGAGAGCCTTAAGAATCATGTTCAATGTTAATCGTAGGACCCATTGCAAACCACTTTTTAAGAAACTTAACGTAATGACTGTTCCCTCTTTGTTTATATTGGATTGCTTAATGTACATTAGAACTAATTTAAAACAGTTTCAAACTAATAGCTCTGTTCATAACTACTTTACTAGGCAAAACAATTATTTAAGAACTGACCAATGTAACTATCAAAGGACAATTAATTCAACTTTTGAGCTGGGTAAAAGAATGTACAATAAATTACCGAACCATGTAAAGCAGCTAGATTTAATTAGATATAAGTCTTATTTGAAGCGACTCCTCCTAGAATTAAGTGTATATAGTGTTGAAGAATTTGTTAAATATTTAGATGTTTATTTGTGTCATAGTTAGTTGTATTGTTTCTTTTTAGAAATGTAATGACGATGCACCAGTTTGATGTTACCTGCTGTAACCCATAAATGTTATGTGCAAATAAATACTTTGACTTTGACTTTGACTTTGATGTATATAAATGTATGCTTAATTTAGTAGGCTTTGCTTGTAATCCAAAGCCTGGACTGAAACTAATAAAAAGCAATTGTCGAACAGACTGGATGTGAGTAAACAACAAGCAAGAAATTAAGAATGGAGAGTCAGGTTAATTCGGTTTGATTTTGTAAGCTTTTCTGAATGAAATATGAAATACAATTACAATTAGTGTTATTTCTGATTTCTAACACTGTGGAAGATTTTACATGCTTTACAAGCAACACATTAAACTTTCAATAAAAGCGTAAGTGACAAATAATCTTGCATAAAAAGATCATGCATAAAAAGAACTTACTGCATCATCGTCACTCATACTTGGGGTGGAGCTCTGGAAAAAATAAGCCATTATACAAAATAAAGAAGATCTCACAATGGAAAATTGCATATATAATTTTGTAGGTAAACCTAAAATATTTTACAATTGATACTAAACTTAAAAATCTAGATTGCAGTATATTTAAGATATATTATTTTGTTTGAATTATAGCATATGTATTAATTTATTCCTGATGCAAAATAAAAAATAAAACACAGATATTAGAACAGACAAGATTTCAGTTTTCATTGACAATTATTATTACTTCTTTCCTTACCAAGTATTATTTTTAGCTGTGATGTCCTAACTATAACCTTTACAACTCACTTAATGATATAAATTGTGACCTTATATAACACAAAAGAAGACATTTAAAAAATATAAAAACAATCTTAACGGAAACATAACTCATAATAAAATACTACAGAGACATATACAGTAACTATGCAGTATGTCCTAAACTTACCAATGTACAATAAAATCTCTGAGTTTAAAATTCACTTACAATACAATCGAGTTGTAAAATGAACCTTTAAAACTAGATAGCGTTGAAATCATTTCTATTAAATTACAAAAGCTTTCGATAATAATGTGAACTTGGTAAATCAATCACCGTGAAAATTATTCTTAACAATTCACACTGTGAAAGCTGTACAGATTATTCTGTAGCTGTTAAATATTTAATCCTTTTTCCGCAATCACAAATCCTTCAACTTTATTTTGACGCAAATAAGATTTATTCAGCGGAAAATTAATATCAATTGTTCGTTGAAAGTGCGTTTCACTTCCAAACATTTAATCTCTTGTGCTACAGACAGCGGTATTTTGTTAATTGCGATTTTCTTACAGAATTAACAATTCTCTAATGAATTCCTAGTTAAAATAGGTGACGTTTATTTTATTTATAAACATTATTTTTGGATAAATGGTAGTGCAGTTTTTGAAATGTTGAAATTTTACACCATAATACCTGAGGTTTTATTTATTCAATTGCAGCTCAATGTACCAAGTATTTACTGTACTTTTTTGTAACTATAGGCCTACTTGTAAGTTGATTTAGCTATGTTTACACCAATACAACCTAATTAAAACAGTACTTTCTATAAGTTTTCACCGTACCTCTTTAATAGTGCTGTACCTCCTGTTGTTTCCCGGCTGATCCAGTAATCGTCGCCGCTCCATCCTGAAGTCACAAGACACAACCTTCAAGATTACCGTGAACTTCCTTCCACAAGTCACTTCTCTCCCGAGAGTTTGTCCGATCTGAAAGAAATGTTACACGATCACTCCATCTTGGATAAAACCTTGGCAGAAGTACCACAGTTTGGGGAACTGGGTAGAAAAAACCTTTTGATATGCTTTCTATATAGTCAGAGAAATATAGGATATGACCTTAAAAAAATTGCAAGAAAACTTTTTATGGTTTTATTTTGTAGTGTTGGGTTCGCAGAACGACATACTAAAAGTTGCCAAAAATTGGTACACGAGAAAACCACTAAAATCACAATTTAAAATGGCGGCTTTTCCCAACATTGAAAAAATTTTGAAAAAGATACTACATGCATTTTGTATGAACATTTTTTGAGAAACTGACTTGGGACCACCGCCGATATTTATTGGGTCGTTAGTACTTCATTTTGATAGGGAACGCGTTTTTGGCCGCCATCTTGGATCCGCCATATTGGACATAGATATATATTTTTTTAATGTATAGTGTTGTGACACATCATTTCAAACTACATTTTTACACTGATTTCAATGCCGAAATATTTTTTTAAATATCTTTTTTCGTTTAGAAGATATGTTCAAACGAAAACTTTCCCCCATACATTTCTTATGGACGTTTCGTAGTTTGATAATTTTTTTAAAACTATTTTTCTAATATCTCCAGTTCTTATTAACCTTTGCAGTTCGTTCTAGTCATAAAATATTCAGTATGGTAAGGGCTTCCATTTGAGCTCTTGAACATTAAAATCAGATGTTGCTATTCAACGTTGCTATATAAACCCTGGCTCTGCTTTTGATTTAAAGTATCAAAGTTATGAAAATAATGTTTTGATATATTTCCGTGGAAACAGTAGGACAATTCTATATAGGTTATCATAAAATGAGGTTATCAACCTGTCGTCAATCAATCCTATATTTGTTGAGATGACTACAGTTTCGGGGTTAAAACCCAATTTCAAATCTTCAGTAGTCAAATTGTCAATACATTACACATAAACACACACGGAAACATTTATATTTACAAAAAAAATTATTTAAACAAAAAAAAAATAAAAAATACCGTCATACCCACTCACCCACAGATTAGCATTTTATGAAAAAACCTTCATATATTGGAGCAAAATACTTACATAGACTTCCTATTGCGTTAAAAACAGAAAATAACATCAATAAATTTAAGAAGATGTTGAAAAATTACCTTTTTCAGAAACCACTGTACTCGTTTGAGGATTTTTTTAACTTTTAGTCATAGTCGTAGTATTAAGTTTTGATTTGACACTATTCTCATGTACTATGTGTGCGTATTGTGAATAAAGATGATTTGACTTTGACTTTGACTTTACAAAAATTATGTACAATCGTGCCAGGCCGGCCTGCCGATTTGACTACTGAAGATTTGAAAATTACGTTTTAACCCCGAAACTATAGTCAAGACAAATATAGGATCGATTGACGTTAGGAGTTTAAACTCGTTATAGGTCAATAAATCAATCCCGTAGGCAAATATGTATAAATGTATGTTGTACTTTTTGTATAGATTTTGTGAATTTTTGTTTTTAAATTCGAACTACTTATTAAGTGTTTGGATTAGGCGGTATCTTCCCGTTGCGAAGCACGGGTACAGCAGCTAGTGGTATGGTAAAATAAATGTTTCTGAAGCAATCCCTTTGTTTTTTCTCCTCGTGGAAGGGAGACTAAGGAAGAGATAAAAACTATGTACCTCATTATTAAGAACGTTAAAGGTTTTTTGTTTTGATATACGTAAAAATAAAACGAACCAGTGTCTAACTAATTCTATAGCCCTTTACATGGTAGTTAAAACTTTATTAATGAGGGCATAGTAAACCAAAAATTACCAACTTGATTTATAAATCTGATATGATTAAAGCAATTTAAGCCAAAAAAACCCGACTTAGTACTGTTCAAAAGTGTGTCTTTCAATGTCTTAGCTAAAACTGTTACAAAATATTTATCTAATAGCTTAAATATACATAATCTCTGCCTAATAATTTCCAATTATTTATTATGTTCAAAATATTGTAAGCTTTCAGTACTGATGTAATGTTGTCAACTATTGTCACCTCAAAAAAGATGATAAAAAAATGTTGTGTATTATACAAAGCTGAACAAAGATTTTTTATATAAACATGTTTGTGATTCCTAACACAATCATACACATGCATATATAGGCAAATAATTAATCTTACGCTGAGTATAAAAGCACATCCAGCATATACAGTAGCATATATTATTTCACCAAACACCAATACAAAGTTTCACAGCTAACTAGTAAGCAAACACTAAGATAACTGATACACTAAACTCTAAAAACACACACAAGGAGGCCAGTAGCACTAGATGTTCGACTAGTGTAAGATGGTGCTATCAACTATGTGCCGTTCGTCCACTCTGATAAGATCGTTGAACAAATATATATCTTTTTTATTCATAAAATTGGTTGAAACTGGTTTTTACTTGTTTAAACTAAATAAAAACTACAAAGCATCAAGTATAATAAAGTTTTGCACCAAGAATAGTAAAAAATATAATAGTATATTTCATAACAAGAGTAGAAAGTGAGTAATTACATATTTGAGACCATGTTAGATGTGCGAGGTATATCGAGCACGTTAAATGGTCGAGAATATGTATCGACCCACTTTCACTCGTGTTTTGAACGTTACTTTTCGCTACACTACAAAAACTAATTATATTTTCATCTAAACAGACATTGGATATTTCTTCAAAACAATTAGGAACATGACAAAACTCATGAAATTTTAGGTTATGCCTTCAATTTAAAGTTAATATTTACTTTGGTTACAGTTTTGTTTGTTGAAAATTGAGACAGTTGACAAAACAATAACAAATCTTTGTTTAGTTACGTTGGAAAAATCTAAAAACATAGTAAACTTTACTTTCGAACAGTAAAAGTTTTTTTGCCGTAGTAAACAATGTAGTGATGCATTTTCGCAGGTGATAGACATATAACGAATAAAGGTTATTTCACAGTAGTGTAGCGAAAAAGGATCTTCCACTACTAATGAAACAAAACTCTATTTTCCCTGTGTACGTTTCATGCTGTAAATTACTTTAGTACATAAGTCAGACAAAAACAAAATGGTTTTGGTTGCAAGGCTCGAAAGAAATCAGTGTTAAGATAACTTAATTGGATGAATAATTAAGTTATCTTAACACTGATTTCTTTCGAGTCTTGCAACCAAAACCATTTTGTTTTTGTCTGACTTATGTATAGTTATTGCCGTTAAAAAATTACATAGTTTCTCATAATTTATAAAATAAAGCTTTATAACTATCTAATCATTTTAAAATATCATTATATTTTTATAAACAGAATAACCAAATCTTTACAGCAAATGCATGTCATTACGTTGTCTTTTGCTCAATTACAAGCCTTCCTAATAAATGATAGGTTTATGAAAGAATTTTAGTTTTTTTTTCATAAATACTAGATTATGTTAGTGGGATTTTCCTGGTTTCAAACAAAACTCACATTGATTCCATGAGATTATTACGTATATGGGTGAATCAAAGCTCGTTGTGAGTTGATTATAGAATCAATTAAAGGGATGTCACTTGCAGTACCGTGTGAGTTAACTCTACGTATTTTTCATGAATTTGTATTATTTGAGATGTATTGATTGTACATCCAATCTTTATATATATACAGTTTTAACTGTTGGCAAATTTCCCGGTGATTATGCAAATACCGTAGGTCTTATCGTAAGACCTAGCCCCCGGACCGATATACTTTTTTGTTTGGAGGTATCCGGAGGCAGAAAATAAGGAGATCAATAACGATGCCTTGTTTGTCTGCCAACTATTCCATATTAATTGGAATGATTAAAGTCTTACAAAAGAAATTTTAAAAAGTTAGGGTTTTATGTTTAAACGATGACAGAAAAAACTTAGTTGGCAGCTATAATGATATACAGTATAATGTTGTCATGCAATTTTAACTATTGAAAATATGCTACCACAGTAATTCAAACAAATTTGACCTAAATATTAAAAATTAAATCTTACTCGTAAATAAAATTATATATCGAGTGCTGAATAATTATTTTACATTGGCATTAGATGTTAAGGAGTAAGTAATTATACTAATTCATACAATACACTTCAAACATATTTTTCTGTAAAAGCTAAGTTTGAAATGCGAAATTGTACTTGTTTACAACCAACCCCATTGACCTTTTTATAACAGCTCATGTAAAGGGTCGGTTAGAACTGGTGGCAAGTTGATTATCAAATTAATTTATGGGGTAAATATAAACAAATGAATTTGAAAATAAATTTCGTTCCTATTTCCATATTCATTCGTTTTATTATTTGAGCTAAGCTATTCTATGCTTTATTATACATAGCATTTGATTAATATTTTCATAGATTAAATATGTGCATTAAAATACATCTTTATTTGATAAAATAAGACTAACGAAAATATAAACGTATATTTAATGGAGAAACAATTGAAACAAAATTGAAGACATAACATAAAGCTATTTAAATTATTAAACAAATGATTGAGTTGTCAGCTTTTGACACAGACGTCGGTTTTAATTTTTATTTTCGATAAAGACAGACATAATATTTACATGATTTGTTGTCTGCTTACTTTTTTTACAAATACATTAAGCTGTTCTGTATAAATAATATGAATTATTTTAGACTAGCTGTACCCGCGGGCTTTGCCCCGTTTAACTTCATATGTGAGCTCGTTCGCATGGCTCAATCACGTCCTGGTTAAAGTTCGTTCGCTACGCTCACTCACCTTAGGTTGGAGCTCGTTCGCCTGGTTGAAGTTCGTTCGCTACGCTCACTCACCTTTAGGTTGGAGCTCGTTCGCTGCGCTCACTTGCCTTCAGGTTAGCTCGTTCGCTACGCTAACTCGCCTCCGGGTTGAAGTTCGTTCGCTACGCTCACTCACCTTTTGGTTGCAAATTAGCTGTTGTCATAAATTTAAAAAAATAATAGTGCTGCACTCTGTTGGTAATCCTTGTAACTTTAATGCTCTTGAACATCACAGAACAGAACCAACTTGTTTAATTGAAACAGCTGTTATGATTCATTAATTCCATTTAAATATGAGTATTCATTAGGTTAACATGGGAAACTCCAGAGCCACTGGGGCGGAGCCCGAGAGTCCGATCAGAATAAAAACCACTTAGTTTTCCTATTTAATGCCTAACGAATCAGTGTACCAAATTTCAGCCCCCTAGGTAAGTGGGAAGTGGGAGAATTAGTGATGAGTGAGTGAGTGAGTCAGTCAGTCAGTCAGTCAGTCAGTCAGTCAGTGAGGGCTTTGCCTTTTATATATATAGAAGAAGATTGTGTTTTCAGTTAAATAATTGTTATATATAGGTGTAATAAAGCATTGAAAATAACTAAAATAAGAGTAGGCTAATTGGTTATTTTTAAACGATAACTGAAATATTACTTTCCGGCGCTCTGGGATGCGGGGAACGATCCCAGACATTACCCTTGCATCTGAGTCTCTTTTGTCAAGGATCAGAGCCTGGAGGTCCTTGCGGGTTACATGGCCAGTGACCACCAGTACATAATTTTTTATGTCCTGGATGGTCATCAGAGACAAGTAGCCAAGTTTCGTCAAGTGTCCGTTTGATGGAATTTAAAAAAATTGGACGTTGCAAAATTCAATGAAGCCATCTTACGAGGAACGCCGGTGGTTCCTCCCGCAACTAGCGTGGCTCACGCAGAGGTGGTAGTTACATCCATGAAGGGACTGATCGTCTCGGCTTGCGATGAGTCTATGCCTCGTAGGAGATCCCGGTGCAATAAGCGACCTGTGTACTGGTGGACTGCCGAGATTGCGGCGGTCAGCATTGAGAGCCAGAAGACTTGCTACCAGGGCCAAAGAAACTGTAGACAGACGTCGTAAGTCGTATGCCACTGCTAGGAGGTCTCTTCGTCGAGCCATCAACCGGAGTAAACGCAGTTGCTGGAAGACATTAAGGGACGATGTTGATTCCAATCCATGGGGAATGGGTTACAAACTTGTAACCAAGAAACTTGGCACCCGCTCTCCACCTTCCGTCATGGATGGAGCCACTATGGAGAGGATAGTCGAGTCTCTTTTCCCGGCGCACATGTTGCGCCCACTGCGGGATTTTGGAAGGGTGGATGACGTACCACTTTTCAGTTTTGGAGAGATGGAGGGAGCCGTCCTATCCCTGAAGAACAATAAGGCTCCTGGACCCGATGGGGTACCCGGCGAAGTCCTCAAGAAGGTTTTGACTACCAACCCCTTGATCCTTTTGCGCATGTACGATGCCTGACGCATGGCTTTTTCCACTGCCAGCGTTGGGAAAGGCCCCGTCTCGAGGCTCAATAGTTAGTAGGACAGCTGTCAGTGGACACAGTCATACCGATGATGACAATTGGTGAGGACAATTGGACCTGTGTGTCACATTACATCCAGGGTATTCTCCGCGCCAAGGAGCTCGACCTTGACCAGGATGCGGTGTAGGTCATAAAAAATCTAAATGCCAAAAACGGTGAGAGCCCTGAGGGCTTAGGTCACATGTTGGCCTGACTTGAAGTAATGTGACAAACAATTCCAGGTCTGTGTCCAACAGAGTAGAGGGGGTTTTTTAGTGAGTAGTCTGTGATAGATTCAGGAGTCTCACGCTACAGGCTGGCTACATGTGTGCGTAAAAGCATTTTCCCTCCTCTCCCTTCAAAAAAAAAATCTTTATGGAAAATGTCTGGAATAATCTCTCAAACTAAAAGCCATAAATCCACCATCACTAACAATTAACTTCAAAGAAAAAATTATCTTCATCATTGACTTTCTACTTTGGTACTTTGTAACACTGGAATTAAAATAGTTGGTTCTACAGTATCTATTAACCTAGTGTCATATTTTTGACTTTTTTGGTACATTTTTGTTGGTTTTAGTGATAAATTAAGTTTACTGATGCAAAAGGATAAAAAAAGTTTATGTTTTCGACGGCTTATTCTGCTTGCAGCAGCCTGGATAAACTGCAAGAAGGTGTGGGGGAGAAGGTTGGAATGTTTGTCTATCTTGTGACAACGTTTGTAGTTTCCGTCATCGTGGCGATGTTCTACGGGTGGAAACTTGCTCTCGTCATGACAGCGACCTGCCCCGTTTTTATATTGGTGACCGTCTTGGTTGCAAGGGTAATCAACGTAAATCAAATATTCTTAAGTACTTCATTTAGCAGTCTAGTCACATTGTTGACAGTAATATTGTAGTATTGTAAAAGTAATATTCTAGTAGTAATGTGGTTTAGGAGCGGTTGCAAGTAGGGAAATATTTGTAGCACCTTACAATTTGTTATAGGATTAAATACATCACACCTAACATTACAATTGTATGTGATTCAGTAGATGTGAATTCATAAGGTGGATCACAGAGAAGTATTAAGTAATTACAACTGATGGTTATTGTTCATTTTAAATCCACGCATGACTCGCCAATTGAAATTATGTCCCAATACTGCTTTGCAGGGTGCAACTAAGGCCGGTTACACACCGATGTCACTGATATTTATCGTGCTAGTGACATGCCACTTGAAACCAACCTGTATTAACTTATGGAGATATACACACCAGTGTCACGGACATGTTGTCAGTGACTTGTGTTTCTCGCACGTGCCTCTAGCGAATAGCGAACCAACCTGTTGGTGTTTGGACGGACTTGACTCTTGCCTCTTAGGACAGCGCATGCGCAGAATTTTCTATAGTTTCTATAGTTCTATAGTTTCTACAGTTTCTATAGTTGTTTTTGCGCTGTGGTTGGTATATTCTGTTTTGTTTTATTTGAGGTGGATTCTAATAGTTTGTATCCTCGATGTTACATTTATCTTTCAACAGACCGCACAGTTTTTCAAAAGGTTTCAGGTTTCGTCCTATAAAAGTTTTTGGAACTTTTCAGGGTGTTGGAACAACTGTCTTGTTGAAGTAAATTGATTGAATAACCATTCCAATAAGGATGGGTTCAGAATTTTCTTTGAACATGTATTCTTTGCCGTTGTCTTCTTCTCCTTAACACCAACAGGAACAATACAACATCCTCATCTGACCTTGACATTATTGAAACTGATTCCTTCTCTTTCTTGTCACTAGCACGTGCCTCTTCCATGTTTTAATTTTATTGCATGTCACTGACATCATGCTAGTGACATCAGAAATGTCAGTGACACTGGTCTGCAACCCGCCTAAAGTTTATGACTAAAAATAAAAATTTTAAGGAAAATATTAAGCAAATCAATTCAGAATACTTGAGTATCATATATTTGTATATGGTATGTGACATGATTGTTGAGCAGGTTCAGACACGTCTGTCTGCCAAGGAAGAGGAGAGTTACGGAGACGCAGGAGCAGTCGTAGAGGAGGTTCTGTCTAACATCAGAACAGTGGCAGCCTTCGGAGGGGAACACAAAGAAGTTGACAGGTGAGGAGGTCATATATTGATTAACCAACACATGTTGTTGGATTTTGATTAAATTTAGTATGTTATGGCTTTTTAACCTTAAACCAAATAGTACAACCCCCAAAGTTGTAAAAATTATGCTTTTAATGTTATTGGTGTTATTTTTTTACCTATAAACCGTAGCCACTCCCACTCCTGGGAGAAATTATGTGTCAGTTTGCTGACACCTTTACTTTGTAATTGTTCTGATGTATGTACTTCATTTATACGTTGTATATGGATCATGAAATTCCCTATATAAATACTTCTATAGTAACTTATGTGTTTACTGCTTCCAGATACAATCAAAAACTGATTCCGGCTAGAAGAGCTGGCATCAAAAGTGGAATATTCTCGGGTTTCGGAGGAGGAGTTTCATGGATGTTGATATTCTTCAGTTACTCCATTGCGTTCTGGTATGGAACTCCGCTAATATTGGCAGATCGATACAATGAAGACAAGACTTATACTCCCGGAGTTTTGCTCATTGTGAGTATTTTGACTTATCATTATACTTAAGCTACAGCCTGCTGTTGTGACTTGATTTTTAGCATATGAAAATGGTTAAGTTACCTGATGTCGCCTTGTGGTCCAAGTCTTGTCGTTAATGGATTATGAGCATTTCGGCATAAACACCATCGTCAGATTTGTATAAGAAATAATCTTCCCTCAAGAGGTGCGACGAAAGTTCACAAATAAAACACATAAACCTAAAAAAAACTGATCGAACGTTATTTAGCATCGTTTCTCTTTCTCTTATACGGATCTGACAACGGTGTTCTTGCCAAAGTGTGCATAATCCATTAAGCACATAATCAATTATATAAAATTATTGTAAAATTTGATATGATAACATTTTGACTTTCAGGTTTTGAATGGCGTTGTCATTGGTGCAATGAATTTAGGTTTATGCACTCCTCATCTTGAAGCTTTTGCTAAAGCTAAAGGAGGTTATGATTCCGTCATTGCAATCTTACAAAGGAAACCTGTGATAAATATCAACGAGAAAGGAGTTCTTTTGGACTCAAAATTAGGAGAAATTGAGTTTAAAGATGTTCATTTCACTTACCCTGCTAGACCTGATGTTAAGGTAAGTGGAAACTTTGGTTTTATTATTGTAAATTCAGACGTACATGCTTTATTTTGAACTTCCTTAGTTAAAAAAACCTCTTCTTTTTGTTAAAAATGAAATTGTGCATTGTTTTTGGACAATTAATGTATGACAAGTAGGGATTATGTTGATCAATGGGCCCACACTCTGACATCGAATCACTGCGTAGTGTGTTTGGTATAAGGCTTAGTGCTACAGGCCACAACCCAGTCAAAGCGGCTTTTCCATTTTCAAGCTCCTTGTCGCCAAACTTATATCTAATTTAAATTAGTGGATATTTACAGTTTTTTACTCGTCCTTTGGTGTGCTAATTATTTGAGTTCCAATGTTTATTGAGAAATTTTAATTTAATTCCTCCTCGGTTAAGTTTCTCTAAGGAATTCCTGCAATGATCTTTAAAGATGAAATATTAACTTAGAAGATAATACAGTAATTGAATACCTCTATCAAGCATCTTTGTAAACAAAATATTTTTTGAAATTGAGATTTTTTAAAGAACAACGGTGCAAATAACATTCTTTTCTGCATGGGATATTTAGATTATAAAAATACATAGGTTGGTAGCACTTACAAGTGATTGAATATGTTGGTACCAATGCTGCCCAAACATTTTTGTGTTTTCTGAAAATATTTACTTTTGTCACTTGCAACAACAATACACTTGCTTTGGCAAAGCTTTCCAACTATATATTTTATATTCACCTAACTCTGTACACAATGACCTATAACCTTTCAGATTCTGAAAGGACTCAGCCTCAAAGTCAAGAAAGGGGAGAGTGTGGCCATTGTTGGAGGTTCGGGGAGTGGGAAGTCAACAACAATTCAACTAATCGAACGTTTCTACGACCCTCAGAGTGGTCAGGTGAGTCTTTGTTAAAAAATTAATTTAAACAAGTGACTATTTTCATACCAATCTATTAAACTATTTGGCCCATTTCACATAGAATATTTTAGAATCTGTAGAGAGTGTTTTTTTACACAACCCAAATTTCAAGTTCAATAAAGAGAATCGCTATTTACAGACAAAAGAAGCTCATAAGCTGTAAGCTCTCCTTCCGATTTTCTAATATGTTCTTTACCGATACTCTACTTAACCGATTTTCTAATATGCATATTAGCATTATTTTCTACAAAGTTTTGTGTTATTGGGAATTTATTGTGAGTAAAAAATTCAACATGTTTATTCTCTCAAACACAACCTAAATCATGTTGACAACAATTCTTAAATGCATCAGCTTATCGGCATGAAGTGAGGTAAGCAGGGCTGCCAACATATGAACCTTTTTTGTCCCTAAACAGTGATTCTCGGTATGTATCTTGTAATTTGGGTTGTGTTTAAAACAGGGTGTATTTAAACATTCTAAACAATGTTTACATTTTTAAAAGTCAGTGTTGTCTTAGATAAGTCTTAACGGAGTAGACTTGCGCACTCTGGACCTGCGGTGGGTTCGAGCTCAGATTGGGCTGGTTGGACAAGAACCTGTATTGTTCAACACGACGATCGCAGAGAACATCTGTTGTGACTTGAAGGTGACGCGAGCAGAGATGGAAGAAGCAGCCAGGGAGGCGAACGCTCACAACTTCATCATGAAACTGCCTGGGGTAACTACAGTATACTATATCATGGATTAGATTACAGTTTTACTCAGCCAAACATTGTTACTCTATGTTGGTTAGAAACTACGTAATTGATCAGATTGTGTTTAGGTATGTAACTTGTTAGGTAATTGTTGATGCTCTGACTGTAGACATATAGTATCTATAGACACTGCAGCTTCACCGACGATGCTATAAACCACTTAAGTGTTCCATTGAGTGCTTCCTCTGTACCTTCCTTCTCAGTGCTTGCACAAAGTTACAGTATTTAAGTAATTTATAGGAGTACCTATACACCATTTTCAATTCTTGTTGTATTTGTTACTTCACTTTCTATAGCATTGAATAGTTTATTTTTGAAAACCTTCCCAGGGTTACGGGACCATGGTAGGGGAGCGCGGCGCACAGCTCTCTGGGGGACAAAAGCAGAGGATAGCCATCGCCCGAGCTTTGCTGCGACAGCCGAGCATCCTGCTGCTAGACGAGGCGACTAGCGCGCTGGACATGGCTAACGAGGCTGTGGTGCAGAGCGCGTTGGAGCGCGCCAGCAGAGGCCGCACGACTATCACCATCAGCCATCGACTCTCATCCATCCGCAACGTCGACCGCATCCTGGTCCTGGCTAGCGGAAGGTGGGATTTCAAATGACAAACACAAAAAAATTTGAAAATGTAGAATACTTACTAGGACTACTTACTAGGAAGTTCAATTTCATCACATGTTGTCCGAATCTGAGCTAAGATCTTTCTTAGCTTAGATCTTCCTTGGTTTTAAAACACTGTTATTTACAGTTAAGTACCCTAATTTTTCTGTTTAGTTTAAAGCTATGTTTGTCAAGTAACCCTGCTATCCTTGAAACCTAGGACATTGGTCCCTAAGTCAAATGATTTACTTAATAAGATTTTTTAGGATAAGCCTATTCACAGATAAGTAACGTATAGAGGAAACTTACTTATGGTACGACCATGCACTTTTAGCTCTGGTATGTTTTGATGGTAACATAATTGTGACAAGGAAGGAATATTCCATTCTGTGAGCACTGTGCGTACATTCCTATCACACAGAGCACAGAATGTCTTTCTCCAACGTGAGTGTTGCAGTACTTGAGGGTAAGGGGTGCTGCCAGGGCCGGTTTAACCCATACGCGAACTACACGGCCGCATATGGCGCCACGAAAAAGTGGCGCCGTGGCGCCAACGGAACATTTTTTGTTACGTGAACAACGTAATTTTGTTTATTTTTGCTCAGAGTTCAAGTATTCAAAGCACCACAATAAAGGCATTTATTCTGTTTGTACCAACAGCACTTGAAAATGTTGTATATTTGTACAGCAATACAACTCAATGCCATTTGCAGTTTCGATTTGAACTGAGCTGACGCTCGGCAGTCGGCAGCGTCAGCGCCAGCGTTTGCTGGGTTTCATTTCACGAATCACTCATGCTCGAGATAAGCAAGCGCGCAGCGCCACTTGTCACAACAAGAAACTTCCCCTTTCTTTCACTCCTTTCTGCCTCTGATCCTAGAGCAGAGCACTACGTTGGATTGCACTCTTTTAGTTGTATACGTAGGCCCACGATTACTAGAAAAATACCGGTATGGATCATAAACATAAACAAATGACGTTGTTGGCCCGAATCCTATACTAAAGCTGGGTTTTCCTAGACGCGGAGTCGGCCAGCGGAGAGCGGAATTGAAATTAACATGGCATTCCGCTCCGCTGCTAGGAAAACAGTAACATTAAATTACCTAAGACAAGCTGAGTCCGCTCTCCGCGTTCCTCTCTCCGCTGGCCGACTCCGCGCCTAGGAAAACCCAGCTTAATAGCATTGAACATAACATATGTTTTGGCAGTTCCATTTAAGCAATGTTAAATAATGTTTATTTTCTGGCCAAAAACGTCATTTGTTTATGTTTATGATTTATACCGGTATTTTTCTAGTAATCGGGCGTAGGCCTATACCGTATCGGTATCGTATTGGCATTGTTTTGATGATTCATGATTGTTGATAAGCGAATTATTACGAGTGTTTTAAGTTTAATTTATAATTAGCACATTAAATAAAAAGAAAGTATAAACTGAATGAATGAATGAAACATATTGCAAGCCGAAACTATGAAAACAATGGCAGAAAAAAAGAAACCGTCTGGCACTTATCATAGAAAGCGTAAGGTGAATTTGGAGGAGGAAGAAAAAAAAGCCAAATCAATGAGTAGACTATTGTAGAAATCATCTGGTGGCGAGTCCAGTCAGCCCAAAAGAGTCACGATAGAAGACGGCAATGAATGACGTAGGTATTTATTTATTTATTTTCCAAGGAAAGATTAAAACAAGCAGCTGATCACAAACGGCAAACATTACGTCATTGCCGTCTTCTATCGTGACGTCATGCTTGACGAACATTACATTACGGACTGTTTTTTTAGTGTGTCCTTGGTTTTGCTATAGTTTATATGATGAGTAAAAGTGTATAAATGTCACATTTCTGCGAATAATAAACAGCGTTTTATTGCAAGTTAGTATTCTTCTACCTAAACTTAAAAAAAAATTCTTCCCAAAATTATTGGGAAAAAATTCACAAATAAGGTTAAGTTATGTTCATGGTTTTTTGGGGGGGGGGGGGAATTCTAAGTGGCGCTGATTCGGGTGTTCGCTTAACTCTGAAAAATTCCTAGAACCGGCCCTGGGTGCTGCGAGTAACAATGTCCCTCAAAAGTTCATGTCTTTAAGTTTCACTATTTTTGAACAACAAAGTTTTTCTGCTCTAATATAATTCAGGGATTTTCAGTTACCTTAATTTTACACTTAGCAAATAGCTGAAAATTGAAATTATGTGACCGTTAATTGGATGATAAAAAAACTTGTAATTGTTTGACAGAATTAATGTAAAAGTAACCCTCCTTGTTTTGATAGACTGGTAGAGGAAGGATCTCACTCAGAATTAATGGAGAAGAAGGGACATTACTACTCTTTGGTGACAGCTGATGCTTCTCTTCAAGAGGGTGAGTAAAGTCAAAGATGGGTCATGTTTATTTTGACTAATTTAAAAAGATTTATATCCAATTAATTCTATTATAAAAAAATATTAGTACTTTTTGCAAACCTGGATTATTTTAAATAATCAAATAGTTTCATTGCTTGTTGCAAACATACTTATTGAATACACATCAAATTAAGACAGAAAAAACTAATTTTACCTACAGTCAAAGTGGGCTTCCTTGCACAGATTATATCACAGAAAGCCTTACTTTCGCGCACAGTTTTAACTTTGGCGCACGCCAGTGTTCCAACTAAACAACACAAAACAGCATGCTTTTATTATGCACGTAATCCCTGTATGCTTGAAAATAAGTTGGCAACACTTAAAGATATTACGACTACGATCAGCTGGTAAAATAGAAGTGGATAGTTATCAAAGCAAAAGAAAATTTCATTGATGGAAACCTTTTTAGCTTCCAGCCCCAGTAACAAAGACAAACTAGACACGCAAACAAATGAGTTCATACCTCTGGAAGAAGCTGACGTAATACCAAAGGAAACTGAGAAAAAGGAAGACTTGCCTGAAGAGGTGAGTAAAATTCCAACTTTTCTTGAGTTGAATGTTCATTGAAAGTAATTTCATATGAATCCAAACCATTTACCAGTCAGTACATTCACCAGTTTACCAGTTGATTTACCAGTTGATCTGTACGTTGTCATTGGAATCGTTTCTAAAATTGAACAGCTCTGCCAAACAACGTTGCAAGTGACGAAAGTGAATATTTTCAGAAAACAAAAATACATTCTGGTCGTGCTGGTGCTAACACAGACAGTTTACTGTGCATTCAATCACTTGTACCAAAAGTGATTTCCCAAAACGTGCTCCAATTATTCCCATCCTCGGCTTCATTGATTCTTTTGGAAGTAATAAAGTACAAAAAACGAAGTCTTAGGATTTGTAGGCTATCAAACAGTTGAGAACTTAGCGATGCTGGTGCTTACAACTGGGACACGCCGATGTCGTGATGTCCGTAACTGATGCTGCGCCGATGTTAAAGTAGCCTGCACACGCTCTATTTGCCGAAGCCCCAAACTACAACAGTTTACCTAAACGACTAACCAAATATATATTTTTAAACTTTAAGAAACATATGCGAAACATTTTGCGTATTTTATTTGTAATAAATATATAGAGGGTAAAACAAAATTGTGTACTCTAAAACATCAAAGTTAAAATGTTGTGTATCTCTTTGAAAATATTTTTTAGAAGAATACCTTTGGGTACAAAAGTGGTAGATAAACTAATTATAAATAATACAAATCAAATTTCAATACGATAGCATCCGTAGAATTTTAATTGTATTCAATAAAGTGAAACACTGCAATTTCTTGTTTTGGAGTGGATGGGGAAAAATCTCAAGGGGTGAAAGTGGGGACTTTTGGGAAAATACCTTTCATGTGGTTCTATCACATATACAAAATCCAGCTTTCCACCATTTAGTTGCAAAAAATTTTGTTTTATTGTTTTCATTGACTGAGCATCAAATAACATGTTTCCTCTGTTGATACAGAGGAAACATTTAATTAAAAGATTACTTCTCTGTGGGCCACATTAAAAAGCAATCAAAATAGTTTTTTAAATGTATATGTTTCTTTTAGGCTTCTAAATTCATTTCAATTGTAATTATTTTTAATAAATTTGCTGCCTGAATTTTATGTTTACTACAACATATAAAAGGTGTTGTTCCTAGGATTACAATGTCCCGCTTTTGAAGATCGTCGGACTCAACAAACCTGAATGGCACTACGTACTCTTGGGATCTGTCTTTTCATTTCTCAATGGATGCATTTCACCTCTTAGTGCTGTATTCTTTGGAAATATATATTGGGTAAGTTTTTTTTCTGGAATTCGTAGCTTTTTCACATACAAATCCATACATGCACACACCGTCTGTTTGATTCACCCGATGTCAATTTTTTGTCACCTTAACTCATAAGTGCAAAAGTAAAATTATGACTTCATACTAATTAAGTCTCTGTAACACTTGTACTGTCAACGGTAAAATAATTCACTTTGTTCACTTAATATATCAAATAGACATATTAAAATATATGTAATTTTGTTATTACTTTATACAAGTACTTTACTTTGTGAAAATGTTTTCCTTAGAAATAAACTTTGTGCTCTTTAAATGGTGCTAATGCTTCAGTTTTTTTATTGGAAAATATATGAAAATGACAAATAACAAAATTACTATATTGTTGTACATTTCAGGCGTATTCTTCGCCTGACGACAGTGTCATCCTCTCCGCAGGAAACCTTTACGCTTTATTGTTTGTCGTCCTCGGGATATTTGCCTTCATCTGTGTCTTTTTGCAGGTTAGTACTTTTTAATGTTTTAATTAATGAACGTGAAAATATTTGGGTTCCAGAATTATTGCAATTTTTGTGATTCTACGTATAAAACTTCACAAAGTTACTCCCACCGCTTGCTTGCCCAAGAGTTGTAGACAAGCTAAAGGGGTATGTGCCAGGTCCTGGTTCCGTTTATTTCTATTAGTATAAGTAATATTACAACTTTTTGAGTATGTTTCATACAGTTTTCGAGTCTGACGTTAGCCGGGGTGCGGATGACAACGAGGCTACGTGTGAACGTGTTCAAAGCGATGTTGCTGCAGGAGATGGCTTGGTTTGACGATGAGAGACATTCCGTCGGCAGCCTCTCTGCTAGACTGTCGGGCGACACCTCCACTATACAAGGGGTTAGTGGTTAACGTTACATGATTTTTGTAGACCAATTTAAAGATAATTTACTCACTGAACAATGACAAAATGTTTAATGTGTAACTGAACTATAAACTGGATAAACTTTATTTTGAAGCAAGCCTCATAATATTGGAGCCAAACTGTATAGCTTAGTTCCTTGATAATTTAAACAAAAAAATGCCAACCAAATTGTAAAGACTGGTCGCAGACCAAAATATTTTATTCTTTAAATAAATTTTTAAGTGGAAATTGAGAGGGTTGGATACTAATTATTTGGTTTTGTTTTTAGCGAATTTCCCATTTAGGAATTAAGCTATTACATAGGTCTCTTGGTAAGACCTCAACCTTTACTTTTTCATTTTGATTTTTCCAGAGACCAAAAACTTCATCCGTTCAAATTCAAATATCTGATCGTTAGCACGATAACTAGTCAGAATTATCAGATTTGCATGAAATTTGGTACAAAACATGTAAACTTACATTTATTTAAACACATTCCCTAACCAGCATGATCGGGTTTTGGAAACAGGGTTTCATGGGGTGGAAATTGATTTTTCACATTTCAACCCCCAAAACATAACATTTTGCAATTTCAATTTCTTTCCAAACTTCCTTGTAGATATTTAAAAGCAAATAAATTAGTATACTGAAACAGTTATTCGCCTAATAGCTACAGATAAAACCTAAAAAACTGTAAACTTTAAATGGCCATGTTATTTTTGTTAAGAATAAATAAACTATTATAGTTCGCTTGTTTATTGATACAGTATTTTGATCGAATTTGGAAAATTGTTGCCAAAAACACTTCATTCCTTTACCTGCACCTAAGTACTCATAAAAATGAATGTTACTAAAATATAAAATAAATCTGACAACTTAACGGGATCATTAACAATAGTTTTCCCAGGTAAATTGAAATTCGCTTAGTCTGCAGATTTGACATAGCGGGGGTATTTAATACTATTATTTATAGTTTTAAGAAGTATATTACTGTTTGAATAATGTCCTGTCATTTTATGATGTAATTACATTTTGTCTTCCCTTTGACAGGCCACTGGTAGCAAGCTGGGAACACTACTGCAGGGCGTCAGCACTCTAGGTGTTGGTACGTTGCTGTCTCTCTACTACTCGTGGAAGATGACCGTTGTTTGTCTCATCTGTATCCCGTTCATGCTCTTCTCCATCGTCCTCGAGAGCAGAGTCATGCATTCTGAGGACTCCATTGAAAAGAAAGCTTTAGGAGACGCCACTAAGGTAATGTTCTTTACATCACAAAAGCATAGTAGCAGTGACAACCCTGACGTTATATCATGTTTTCCCACACAATTTGTACATAATTCACACATATCAACTGTATACACAAATAGTTACAATATTATTTAGTACTGAATATAAGAATTTTCTGTAAAAAGCTTTCTGACTTCAACCATGCAAAATAACACCATAGGAGAAATGTACTCCTTTGCGTGGGAGAAAGTCTATTTTTGATTTTTTTTTAAATTAAGAGATGAAAAAAGGTTTTTGGAATGGTTTGAAAGTTCGCTAGAGGACTGAGTGATTGGTTGCTGAAATGGCATTAATTGACTACTGGACAAACGGTAGACCCCTCCCCCTCCCACCGCAAAGATAACCAACCGCAAACACATACACTCATACACACCTGGCACACACAACTATCAGTCTTTGCCCAAGATAACAATAAATGAATTAATTCTGGGGTAAGTAAAATACCAGTCCTCTATTCCAGATAGCAAGGAACCTACCATTATCCACCTGTTGTTGCTCTAGATAGCAGTAGAGGCTATTTCATCAGTGCGCACCGTGCAGAGCCTGGGACAGGAGAACGCAGTGTTGGAACGCTACACTCGTCGTCTGCTTGAAGCCGAGGAGTCACTACGTAGAAAGACGAGATTCAGAGGTGTTGTCTTCGGTCTCGGTCAATCAACTGCCTGGTTCGCCTACGGTTTCAGTTTCGGTTACGGAGGGTACCTCATAGCCAGGGAAGGAGTGTCTTATAGAAACATCAACATGTAAGCATTTTTCTGCAAATAGAGCATTGTCTTGACTTATGTGACAGTTTAGCTGGGTTTTCCTATTGTCGGGACCACGTAAGTTTGCAGTTGGTGGCAGCCAATCACAAGACAAGGCTAGTGCGACGTTGCCACATTGCCCGTTGACAACACTAATTAAAATATGCTAAGCAATATTTTCAAATCAGCTGGTATTATTAGATTTGTCAACACCGCATGGTTCTCATTGGTTCATTCAAAACCATATGGTAAATAGGCTACTCCCTTAACCGCAAACTTACGTGGTTCCGACAATAGGCGTGGAAGTGTACCGTGGTCTGCAGTCTGCTCACGTCTTGTCTTAAGTAATTTGATGGTATTGTTTTCCTAGAAGCGAAGCGGACCGCTACTGGATAGAAATTGCTTCTCCGTGTTTGGTTTCCTAGTCCGCACTCTATGTTCTGCGCTCTAGGAAAACCCGGCTACATATTGATTGTTTTGAGTTGATAGCTAACCAGTGTGTTGACCACAATTTCTTTGTCAGAGCTGCTTTTAAATAACAATACTCCCTTAAATTTGACTCCTCTAATTCATCCAACAATTATTTTTCTTATCTATTCCTGTGTTTTTGAAATTCATTATTGCGAAGGATAGGAAAAGTCCATATTGTACCTTCATATTAAAAAATCCATTACCGTTTACTTCAGGGGTAGTGTTTGATCAGGCCAAAGTCAGTTCCATGTTACCTACATCCATCATCCAGAGAGAAAAAATGAAAATTACTAGCATCAATAGATAGTGACACTTCTTATACTCTAAAAGTAACTCATAACATTTAGTACAAAAATAGTGTCTTAATGGACGTTGTCTCAAAAATGTTTATAAACTTTATGTTTATAGAGTCGCAGAAGCTCTTCTGTATGGAGCCTATATGTTAGCTCAGGCTGTTTCATTCGCCCCAAGCTTAAATCTGGCAAAGATAGCAGCTGGTCGACTGTTTAAGATCCTAGATCGCAATCCGCTTATCTTCTCTGGGTCAAACATGGCTTCTTTATCTTGGGTGAGATTATTATAAATTCAGAATTTATATTTATATAACTGTAAATTGAATTTTAAAAGGATTCAAATATTTATCAATATTGTGTGGTTTTTGCTGTAAAATATGATTTGCAATAGCAGTCAAATTTTTTTGTCAATTTTAATAGTGTCAATACATCATTTTATAATTAAAATCATTTATGGTTGAAATCTTCTCATACAAATATTCAAATATGCAAACACTTATTGGTACTTGTTAAGAACAAATTAAATGTTTCCAATTGTAGTGGTGCTTGGTTCTGTTAGGTTACAGCCAGGCACATCCCTTATTTAATACTATAAATTAAAATTTAAAGTTTATTACAGAAAGCCAAAGGAGACATAGAGTATAGAGACGTCCACTTCTCATATCCGAGCCGGCCTGATCACTGGATTCTGCAAGGTCTTCAGCTGAGCATTGCCAGAGGACAGAAAGTGGCTCTAGTAGGTCCAAGTGGCTGCGGAAAGTCTACTTGTGTCCAACTGTTGCAGAGATTCTACGACCCAGTGTCAGGTTCATTGGTAAATACTAAATAATGTCAATTAACCTGAAATAGGATACCCACTCAACCATGAAAACCTTGCATTAAGCCGTCAATTTTGTGAACATTGAAGAAAACCTGCACCCACTAAGTGCAATATGTGCACTATGTGTTTTAATACTTTTTAATACTTTTCAATGAAATGGCGACCATACAAAGTAGGTATTTTAAGCCAAGTATGAATGGAGATGAGTGTGAGTGGCGCGATCTTGTAGTCTTGTTAGTGACTAAGGCCGACTTATTCCTTACTCCTTAGACACAGCTGTTAATTAATAATGCTGTCATATTATCTCTTTTATATAACACATATGTTGCACTAGAGACCTAATTATAGAATAGTTTGGTTATGGTGATTGGTATGCGGTCAGGTTTGATGTATCGACATCAGGCGTGGTGCTACTAAAATCAGGCGTACCGGTAGGTGATAATGCTATTACAACATTATCAACTCACAAAAAAGTACCGTACTTTGTAATTTAGTATTCTTAGTCTCAAGAACAATTAGTTAAATTTGTTGGTTTACCTTATGGTTGCCAGGTTCTGGAAGCATGAAGCCTGATGTACATTTTGTCACATGTGTGGCATCATCTTTAATACTTTAATACTTTTATCAATCAGGAGCATAGTTTAGAATTATAAGTTATCACTTCATAAATTGTAAGCTACACTATTTATTTACAAATCGTCCACTACCAACTTAAATAAATAGTGTAGTGTTTTTAAGAAGTAAAGCAAACATTAAAAATAAACTCTGCCCCTGACGATTCCAAACGTAGTGAAATGTGCATTGGGTTTCATATCAAACATACTTGTATGACAATAAACAATTGTGAATAAACCATAATTTAATTTTCAACTTCATGTTGTTTCTTGTCTCAGGATTACTGTTTTTAGATTATAAAAGGTATAATGTTACCTGGATCTGCCAGAGTAATCCAAATGCTGTCTATCGACTACGCGTTTCGAAGCAATATAAGCTTCATCATCAGGTCCTCAAGAACACGTTTCACTCATCAGAGGTAGTCAAATAAATAAATTCATTTTCAAGTTTGTGTAGAATGTGGAGACCTTAAATTGACAACATTTCATTTAGAACCGGATAGAGCAGGCTGACCCTTTTAGGTCTCTATGTATTCAGGTATTGCAGAAATAATAATTAAATACCGGTAACAAAAACCCTAAATTGTATATACATTTTTTTTATCCCAGGTTTAAAAATTTCAATCATACTATACCTAAATCATAAAAAAACTTTATGTAACCAAAATTTGAGGATTTTTCCTACTTTGTTGTTAGGATGCTTTAATTCCCAAATTGACTGTGTAAATAATCCTTACGATTGTTGAAAATGATGCGTTATTACAGTCTCTGATCTGAGACCACTCCTTTACTAAAAAGTCACTGTGGATATTTTTACAGAAAATAGACAGTGCAGACTCCGTTGATATTCCTATTAGGCAGCTGAGGGCTGGATTAGGTATTGTGTCCCAGGAGCCTGTTTTGTTCGACCGCACGATCGCAGAGAACATTGCATACGGTGACAACACTAGGGCCGTCAGCATGGCAGAGGTGGTGGAGGCGGCCAAACAAGCAAACGTCCACTCTTTCATATCTTCCCTTCCTGCAGTGAGTCTTATTTTTGTCAACAATGTTCACAGTAACTAATTCAATAGTTTTTATTTTATTTCTTAGACTTAGAGATTTATATGCTCTAGCTACACAGTGGTAAAACTTTAAAGATGAAAATGAAAATTAATGACTTTACTATAAAAATAGAATAAATATGTCTGTGAATATAGAAGAATATACTAGAATATAGTAGTGGATGAAGTAAAAACCAGTTTATTGGTCTCGGTTTTGAAGTGCGATGATAGCTCAACAGAGACCTTAATTTACAAACAACCCTCATATTTAAAGTAAAATTCTAGCAACTTAGCAGTACTTTACTTACTTATATTTACTTTCAGGGTTATGAAACTCAACTGGGAAGTAGAGGAGCCCAACTCTCTGGTGGCCAGAAGCAAAGGATAGCGATCGCTCGATCTTTGGTTCGCAACCCACGAACCAGTTTATTGGTCTCGGTTTTGAAGTGCGATGGTAGCTCAACGGAGACCTTAATTTACGGAGAACCCTCGTATTTAAAGTAAAATACTAGCAACCAAGCAGTACTGGATACTTATGTTTACTTTCAGGGTTATGAAACTCGACTGGGCAGTAGAGGAGCCCAACTGTCTGGTGGCCAGAAGCAAAGGATAGCAATCGCTCGATCTTTGGTTCGCAACCCACAAATTTTAATTTTAGATGAGGCAACATCTGCTCTGGATTCGCAGAGCGAAAAGGTAATTGTTAAATAACATTACCACATACATACACAAATAATAACACAAATAATTTAGTAATGTAATACATTACATTACTACGTAAAACATCTGTAAATAGTTATAAAATGTGCAGATGGTGGAAATAATCTTTAATGAAACTAGATCTTCTTGATGTGCTTCTTGCACTAATTTACTATCAGTTTTTAAATCAAATATCCAGTTCTAAAATAAATTATTTAGTACTGGTATATTTTTTAAATGTTAAATAAAAATTAAAACGCTGGAAGATTATACATATTATGAAAGAAATATGTACTCTGTTTCAGATGGTACAAGAGGCACTAGATGAAGCATCTTCGGGTCGCACATGTATCATCATCGCACACAGATTGAGCACGGTGACCAATGCTGATGTGATCTGTGTGCTGAGTCGAGGAGCCGTGGTTGAGATGGGCTCCCATGCCCAGCTCATGGCCAATGGCGGCCATTACGCTCGCCAGCTGCTTTCGCAACAGTAACGGGGCTGTGATAATACTAGATTAGTGATATTTAGATCAAAGTTCCTCTAGGGATTAACATAAGAAGCTAATGTTTATACTTACATACATCAATTTACATTAAATCATGATCTCAACATGAGAACAATACCAAATAGTATAGGAAGATTGAATATTAACTTTACAGTCTGCATAAAAATCTTGTGCCTGCCTTAATGGCACAAGGAAAATCTTGTCTAACACATCTAATTTAACAATTTGATTCAATCAACTTGTTTTTTAAATCATCTTATATTAAAAGTGTAATTTTATATTCTTATGAGCTTGGCGCTTTCCATACTCCTTAGTAATGCTTGATTTGCTTGTATAGCCAGAACAATATACAAAAATGTATTATTTACAAAGGGTCTTTTTTTTTTTTTTTAGGGAGAGGAGGGAAAATGCTTTTACGCACACAGGTAGCCAGCCTGTAGTGTGAGACTCCTGAAAATTGTCAGACTACTCACTAAAAAACCCCCTCTACTCTGTTGGACACAGACCTGGAATTGTTTGTCACATTACTTCAAGTCAGGCCAACATGTGACCTAAGCCCTCAGGGCTCGCACCGTTTCTGGCATTTCGATTCTTAATGACCTACAACCGCATCCCGGTCAAGGTCGATCTTCTTGGCGCGGAGAATACCCTGGATATAATGTGACACACAGGTCCAATTGTCCTCACCCTCCGTCATAATCGGTATGACCGTGTCCACCGACAGCAGTCCTATTAATTGTTGAGCCTCCAGGCGGGGCCTTTCCCAGCGCTGGCAGTGGAAAAATGTATGTTCCACGTCATCGAGAATGCCTGGGCAGTATATGCAGTCGGGTGACACGGCTTTGCCCATCCTAAACAGGTACGACCGGAAAAAGCCGTGTCCCGTCAGAAATTGGGTCAGGTAGAAGTCCACCTCTCCGTACCGCCGATCAACCCAAGGTTGGACTTGCTGTATCAGTCGCCTGGTCCAGAGTCCCCGTGTCTCCTGTTCCCAGCCCTCCTGCCACAGCTGGTAGGTGTGGGTTGCGTTCCTCTGTTCGTGCCTCGTCCTCCCCACGGCGCCGGTAAATTGCCTTTCTCTCCGCCGCCAAAAGTTTGACGGGGATGACTCCAGCAATCACCAGGACGGCGGGCTCGGACACTGTTCGGTAGGCAGATGCTACCCTCAGTGCTGCCTGACGCTGCACTCAGGCGAGCCGCATCTACAAAGGGTCTTAGAAAGTGGTTCTTTTTAAATGAATATGTTTGGAAGTTAAAAAATAAACTTTTGAAGACATTAGATTCAACATATTAGAAGTATTGCTTTATTCAACCATAGTCTATAACTGGAATTAATTTCCAACAGTTTCAATTGTTTTTCGCTGATATATGCCTATATTTCATACATGAACAAAGTGCCTATTTCGCTGATCACAATAATTAGTATAAAGTACAATGTCTCACTTGTATTGACAAATAGAAATATTTTTATATTACTCTAAATAATTTTACTTTTTGTATATCATTTAGCTTTTAGGGAAACAAACTAATTTTATCAATGCTTATATTAAAAGTTTTTTGAACCGTTCAACTTGTATTTCAAATTTTTTCCTGTTTATATACAACTGAACATTTGACAGTACTTAGGTCAAGTAACACACTTGCTTAAAACTTATTTAAGCAAGTGTAATTTATATGGTGTACTTTTTTACAAACCACTGACAATTTATGATGGTAGTCGTTTTGTTTCTAATGGTAGAGGTTATAGCGTAGCTGCCCTAATCCTGCGCATGAATTGTCCTTGTTAAAATCCTACACAGCCCAGTACGTCAAGAAGCTCTGTAGTTAAATTTTGATTGCGCTCCTAAATTACGTTTAAACAAATTCTTCCTTGCCTACTTGGATATACAAATTTGGTATATTTTTGGTATATTGGCTTATTCCTTAAATGGGGAATTCGCTAAAAACAGTTTTGCCCTCCCTGAAGCAGCAAACCTAAGCACTTGTTAAACTAATTCTATTTAAATAGGAAATAAATGTTATATTTTAAGTAGACATTTTAGTGTAAATCCAAAATAAATAAATAAAATAAATAAATCAGGCAAATGGAAATTTGCTTAGTCCGCAGGTTTGCTGTGGCGGGGGTATTTATGTCTTGTAATGTAACTATGTGGCACAACTGGATCATATTTTAGGCTGTCTCTTTTAGCTATACATGCTATTTCAAAAGTATAAGCTGCAAAAACTGTTAAAACTCCCGCTTTTAGTAAGGGAGTTTTTCATTCTGCTATTGAACTTTTCCAGTTCTATGTCAGAGGAACAAATTATTTTGGCTCTCATGGCTTGGCTGTAAGGAATTGAACGTCCACGGCCAATTTTTTCTGGAATTTTTTTTTTTTTTTTTTGTCCTGGACCACGGCCTCCAATCCTTAAACACAATTTTAAAAGACGGTTTCAAAATCCTCAGAGCATCCCCACACACCAAAGACTTCTTGGAAAAACCTCCCACAACTACATTCCGACAACCAGCCAATTAAAAAAAGTTGTTAGTTCACCCTAAACAGTCAAAACCTAACAAAGGCCAAGATAAACCCATAGAAGGCTCATTCCCATGTGACATGGCAAGATGCAAAACCTGCCACATAAATAGGCCCAGCACAACATTTACAAGCACATCAACAGGAGAAACCTTCAAAATTAAAGGACACAATACATGCTCCACGAAAAATGTTGTATATCAACTTCAATGCAACCATTGCCCATCTCAATACATTGGACTTACCACCACCAGTTTTAGAACAAGAATGAACAATCATAAGACAGATATAAAAAACAACCATCCAGAAAAACCAGTGCCTATTCATGCTGCCAGCCACAATATGCAAGATTTAAACAGTTTTTTCAATTCAAAAATAATAAGATCCATCCCTCCCACCTGTAACCCATCCACAACTAAGGAGATGGGAACTCTCTTATCAATGGTTCACCAAATCCAGGGAGCCCCCAAACCTCAATCTCAGATAGGCCTAACATTTTCCTTTCCCCTTCCACACCTAAAAAGCAGGCTTAGACTAAGTGTAAATAAAATCATTAATCAATGACTCATAACCTGTAAATATTCATTTGTAAATTCATAGTGTGCTTCCTTACCAGTGAAAGACTCTTAATATCTAATCCTAATGTGACTCTCCATGTTGAGAAAGGGGCCAGTGGCCTCGAAATATCCAGTGTTTATTTTGTTTTGTTTGTGTTTTCTTCTGTGTTCTGTAGTGAATGAAGTGGGATGCCTACATTTTTTAAGTGAATGAAGTGGGATGCCTACATTTTTTTAAGGTAAGCCTGCTTATCCTATCCTTTCTCACACCTATTCTCAGGCAATTAGCCCTTTCTCTCCAAACCTAACCTTAGTGGTTTTTGTTAGATATGACAATACCTCCCATCATTAAAAATGTTGTGTATGATACCAAAGATGATACTTTTGTCATTTTAATACTGACCTATTTTGAATGAAATTGTGTATATTTTATAGTCCGTTTAACCCTCAGCGAAATGGTAAAACCCCTATTTCTGTAAAAATTACGGTTTATAAGTTATTGCAACTTATGATTTACCCAAAACATTTTCAAGTTACTGTTTCTGCTTACCCATGTAAGTGTTGTAAATTTTCTAAGGTTTAAAAAATGGTATTGGTATCAAGAATTGATAAATTTTGGTACATCGGTACCTTAATTGACAAATTTGGTACATTCCAGGAATAAAGAGGAACTTCTGGTTCTTAGATGGTTTTCTTGACATCAAATAGTTTTGTAAATTTTCCTACGTAATCATTTATTCTCGGCTATCATTCATAGTTTTTTTATGTCCCACCTTCACATCCAATGACCTAAGATTCTAGCCAAGAACAGTTTCAAACATTACTTCAGGCTCGTCTAAAGGGCACGGCATTATAACATTGGTAACTGGTGAGATTTGAACCCGGGACTTCACGATCAAAGCATACAACCATAATACTGTATCATCAGGTCAAATACAAAACAGGACAATAAAATAAATCATGTAAAAATATGAAACAAATAGCAAATTTGATTTATTAAAGTTAAATAAGTTAACAAGTAGAAGAGATTGATCCAGGTGTGATGTCAGTGACTCGTAACATTTATGCTCGGGGTTCGATGCCACAGGAAGCCACTGGAAGGTGAAGATTTGTGCTTTGGAGTCGAAATCCAGCTGAAACAAAAATAAAATAAATTTTTAACACGTTGCAATCATTCTCAAGACTATAGTTTGTATATATAATTATTAAAACTGATCAATCAAAAAGCTTTAGAGAAACTATGAAACTCAGGCTGCTATAGAAGAAGCATAAGGTGGTTAAAGTTTAAGACTTAAACCTCTTCTTAACATAGATGTTAAGCGTATAGAGAGGTCTTGCTAGTCCTAGCTTCGCCTCTCAAATAAAGAAATTTTTCATTCTAAAGGTTCAAAAAGGTTCATCCCCATGGAATTTGAAAGTAACTATAAACCTGTTTTGTAAAACACTTTCCTGCTAACAGGTTAACTTAAATAACAAGTTTTTTTTTACTCCTTAAAAAGCTGCAGCAAACTAACTCACGTTTGTCTCTCGTGTTCGGAGTGCAGCAATACAAGGTGGCGCCATCGGCAGATATTGGGATACTTAGCCTTTGAGATCTCACTGCCTCTGATAGCCTCCATCACAGCCAAGTCCAGTTTGCTGGGGGTGTTCCTGAAACATTAGTAGAACACTACTGGCATTGCGTATATAATAATTTGTACTAATAGTGATTTTGGCTTCGGGACAACAAAAAGTAAATCGGTTCTGTAAGGGAGATATAGGTTTTATATTTGTAGATATATGTAAACTAGAGGTTGTAGAGGTTGAATTGTAGATAGTGACCTTGCCAACTAGGAAGCGTGCTGGAGGTGTTTTGGTAAACACTGAGGGCTTTGCACTCAGTAGCTGTCAGATCAATAAATAGGCCACCTGAGGTAGAGAAAGGGGTCAGTTGCCCGGCGCAAGGTGCCCAGAAGAGTTGGGTGAGTACTGGTTTCTCTATCTTGGGGTTAGGCCCTGTAGTCGGGAGTTTTGTACGGGAAGTTTTGATTTTAGGGGACTGTAAGTTAGTTGGGGTTTTGTGTTTTGTTTTGAAGGAATTCTTTTGGGGATTTATACTTTGATTTGATTAGATTACAAGGGAATAGTTTCACTTCGTTTTTGGGGATTATAAATCTAAGATTCAAGCTACCTCCAGAGCGGTTCCTACCAGGCATTTGTTAGTAGGCTATACTTGAGAGTAACTGTCACTGTATTAAACTTGATTACTTAAGACAATTAAAATCCTATTTGATGAACTCGATCTGATTCTCTTATTGAACAGCTACCCAGCTCATAGCATAAAGTAGAATAAGTTTAAAGATTCGGGTTTGCTATAAAGCTACGCTCCCATGTGCGTATGCAGAATAACCTATGAAGAGCGAGGGGGTTTGCTGCATATCACAGTTCTGTGTCTAGGTGATACCATGCCATCTTTGGTAACAGCTTATTTCTTATAGGGGAAATTTGCTAAAACCAAAACTAAAACAAAACTAGCCCATTATGAGAACTAACACAGAGAAATAAGGTACAAGCTTATGGGACAACCGTGCGCTTTAAGCTCTGGTAGGTTTTGTCCAAACATACTTGTGACGAGCAAGGAAGAGCTTGAACGGCGAGCACTGCAGAAAGTCTAATCGCGCAGGGCACAGTGTCTTCCTCCACCATGAGCGTTGTATTACATTATGGCGAGGGGGGCATTGCACTAGACACTAGCACTAGCGCTAGACTCCACTTAAGCATACCATTGAGTGTTTCCTCTGTATCTTACTTCTCTATGGTACCGTAGAAAAATAGAACAATATAGACTGTCATAGGATCCCGACGTGCCACTAGAGCGTACTCGGTGTTCGATTTGCTGCCGTCGTCGGCTCCTCGCTGTCTGCTACCAGCACTACCACTCTTGCAAACAAAATGCTACCAACTAAACTCTTTAACTCCATTCTCCCAGATTCCGGGGAATTCCTTCAAATTTGGCAACACTGGTCACAACCAAGTTGTCATGGCAACGGTCGCTAGCGCTTGATGCTGCAGCGGTGTGCGCCGTAACTACACAGCACTCCTAGTGGTGGACGCCAGAACATATGCTAACCGCAGCACCGCTGTCGGTCTGTATTTAACAATTTTTGTCTATGGTGGTACTAACAAATTGGTATAAGGAATTTACTAAATCATTCACGTTATGTCAGCAGTTTTGTTAGTTGAAAACTTACCCGCTGATGTACACATCGGGTCCCTCGTCTGGGCTCTCCATAGCTAGGTCATCGTCAGATCTGATCCCCGGTGAGGAAGGCGGAGTAAAAAACTCACATTCACTGGTATCTGAAACATAATATCAATAACTTCAGGATTGTATGATTGTAATTCCGATATTTTAAACAGGTAATATGAATATGAAAAGGTAATGAACGATTCATTATATACTAAATTGATTGGGACTAACTTTAGATTCGGGATGGACAATTTCTGGGACAGTTTTAGAAAAATATTTATCCAATTTTGTGATGGCACACGTTTAGTTCACGATTTTTTGGGATGAGATTCGTTCCACTGTCAGCAATTTCTTGATGACTGCAGATATCACAATTTCTCCAGTATTGCACGAAAAGATGATATCTCTGCAATCGCACAAGATAATCAGTATTTCACCGGTATGATTAAAATTATGATGTCCCTACGATCGAGGAATATATTAACAAAACAATAGTGTAATACAGTGTAATGATGGCGTAGTGCAAGATATACGATTAATTGTTTGTCATAATTGCCATTTGCAAGAATTTTACTAAAGTCGTAAGGCAAAAAAATCCTGTCCTGCTCCCATCCCAAAACACACGAAGGCCATAAATATCCTGTCCAGTCTCTAACTAAAAGTATAATACTTCTATACTTAAGAGAGGTTATCAAAGCTAGTCTCACAAGAACACAGATTTTGACATTAATATTATAAATATTTATAGAACAGAGCTGCTTCCTGAACCCAATGAGATGAATCAGGCCTGGTAAGGCATTTTACCAACTGTGATTCAGGGATTTAAGACTTTAGGCAGTTCAGATGTACCTGAAGTGTCAGACTCTTCGCCGGAGCTGTATGCTGAGACGACCCCTTGACCTCGACCTGTGACCTCGTCTCCGGCTCCAGGATTGACCTCATCTGAAAGTCATGCAACAAAGACTTTTACATACATAAATAAATAGTTATCATTTGAAACATGACAGTTAAAACAGGAGCTAAAGCAGTGTTGGAATATGTGAGGTATTTTTACTGATGCAAAATAAATTTATGAGTGTTGTAACTGAGGGACAGTAACTTTAAAATTACTAGGTTTTGACATATAGTAGCCCTCTAGGACATATTTCAAAATCAAAGCCAAGTGGTTGGATTCTTTTAAATGGATACTGTATTAAGCTGGTTTACCTGAGAAGAGACCAACAGATAATAGATACAAAATAAAGGCAAGTATGTTGTATAAAAGAAAACATGACTCTTTAGAAAGATATCTGATGTTCACACAATTTATAGATAATATGTCACACTAAGGTGTATACGAATACAGCTACTCAAAAGCAATTTGAATACCAAGAGGTAGGAGTGTACAATTTCTTGACACTCATCATAGAAAGTCTGTTGTTAAATTTAAACGTTTCTTGAAAAGCCATCTATCACAGGCCTAGAAGAAGAATATTTTAGTTAATTCGATCCTTCAGATTATCGAGGATCAAATTAACCAAATCCAGGTTCTACTGCAAAGGACATCTTCAGAGTAGATTGGAAAGAAATTTACATATTCAGTGTTTTATGTAAGAAAAACAGCAAATGGTTTTTTAGACGGAGATTAAAGAAAATACTAGCTAAAACTCACAAGAAGTCCTGCAAGAAAAATGCATTTACCGAGATCATTATTGAAGTTAAGTTTCTTCTGCGACGCCAGCTTGCGACGGCCGTGTTTGGTAGGAAACGTGCAGTCGCAGCGTGTGCATCGTGCCCAGACGTCAGCGCAGGTATGTTCGGAGGCTGGTGTATCTGTTACAGGGTTGTCTAGAGCCGTCAACACTGCGCGCGCCACACACACCACGGCTGTGTACAACGTCTGTCTGTCTCGACGGTCCACACGAGGTCTACGCACATACACCAGGTCTATCAGATCATCCTCGTCTGACGAGTAACAGTCTTCCAGCTTCCTACAACAAACAGAACCATCACGATGACACGTGGAATTCTCATCCTACATCTGATGTTTGTTTTAATCTGTTTCATGTTAGTTTGAGCGCTTGTGTGGACCACAGTTTCATCCTATTTTAGGGTAGACTTCATTATTTGTGTATTATTCCCTCTTTCGGTTATAATAATGTAGAAAAAGCTATGGTTGATAAATTTTTAGGTTAAATTTTTTTTTAATGGTCAATTGGTAAACAAACAAATAGTAAACAACTAGGGATGGTTGGGTCCCGTGATTTCGGGAAATTTTTGGGAAAAAATATTCCCGATTTTCGGGAGGGGATTACATTTGATTCCGGAATTTTTCGGGACGGAATTTGATCCGATCGGTGGCGATTTTGCCGCCTCGGGAGTGACGATGACACCGCTGTCGCGAGAGATGTTCACGATAAATCCGCAAACGCAGGAGGCGAAGTCATTCAATTCAATTCAAAACATCTTTATTCATTAGTATATATTGTATATACAAGAATGGTGTCAAATTCATCGTTACATAAAATATGAACACAAATAAAAGACAAATACAATAGACAAAAACAAAACAACAAAACAATACAGTCATCTCTCAAGTAGGTATAAAACAAAAGTATACTTCAGTGAAAACAAAAAACAAAAATATAGTTCAGTGAAACAGCAATAGGCCGAAAACATTTTAAGTCAATGCTGTTATTGCTTAGCCCAGAAATCTTTGAATTTATAGAGAGCATTTTGTGTCAAATGTAATTTTAGAGCGTTTTTAAATCTGTTGTCATCTGTTTCATTTTTTATTTTTATTGGTAATTGATTAAAAAATTGTATTCCAATGTATGATGGTTTTTGTTTAAATATTTCTTTTTTATGCTTATTAATTTGGAAATTATATCGGTTTCTTGTGTTGTAATTATGATTATCGACGTTTCTAGTAAATGTTGAAATATTACGATCGCGCCATTTTGACGATCGCGCCAAGACCGCGAGTCATGCCGACGATCACGCCGTGACTGCAGAGTCATAACGACGATCGCGCCGTGACCGCGAAGTCATACCGACGATCATGCCGTGATCGCGAGTCTCACGCCATAACCGTGGAGTCGTACCGACGATCGCGCCGTGACCGCGAGTCTCACGCCATGACCGTGAAGTTATACCGACGATCATGCCATGACCGCGAAGTCATACCGACGATCACGCCGTGACCGCGAGTCTCACGCCATGAACACTTATATAATCATAAATCATAAAATCGCGCGCCGTGTTTGCGAGTCATACTTACGATCACGTCGTGACCGCGATGTCATACCACCGATCGCGGAGTCATAACGACGATCGCGCCGTGACCGCGAAGTCATACCGACGATCATGCCGTGATCGCGAGTCTCACGCCATAACCGTGGAGTCGTACCGACGATCGCGCCGTGACCGCGAGTCTCACGCCATGACCGTGAAGTTATACCGACGATCATGCCATGACCGCGAAGTCATACCGACGATCACGCCGTGACCGCGAGTCTCACGCCATGAACACTTATATAATCATAAATCATAAAATCGCGCGCCGTGTTTGCGAGTCATACTTACGATCACGTCGTGACCGCGATGTCATACCACCGATCGCGGAGTCATAACGACGATCGCGCTGTGACCGCGAGTCATACCAATGATCGCGCCGTGACCGCGAAGTAATACCGATGAACATACCGACAATCATGCCGTGACCGCGAGTCATACCGACGATTGCACCGTGACAGCTCAAATAAGTTATAAGTTAAGTTTCTATACTTGTAAATTTTTACCCATTTTTTTGTTTTTGTAGATCAGTGCAACAAATTGACTTTGTTTTTCTTGTTTGGTAACTGCAAAACTCAAGACTTTCTTTTTATGTACAGGAAAAAATCCCGTCCCGTCCCGAACCAAAAATTCAATCCCGTCCATCCCTATAAACAACAAAACACTCTCTACGTAAACCGATCGGAGCTGGCCTTCAAAATATATCAGCTGAAACGTCTATTATAGGGGATAGCAGTTTATAAGGAGCATGTTTTATCTAGATGGTACAATAGAGTGTGAATGGGCCATTTAAGGTAATGAAAGAGAGTTTTAGCCAATGTGAGGAATAAAACTAGGCAAAATTATGCTGAAAATAACACTGATAACATTATTGGTCAAACTGAAAAAGCACATAGTTATGAGAGCACCCATTATGATTTGGTACTACCTTCAGTTGACTGAGTATGAACTGTACTAATTCATTCGAGCTAAGGATTAATCTTCAACAAAATTATCACGTCACACCTTATCATATACATTATTCTCTTCTTAAGCTACCCCTTGTTAGAGAAATACACATAAATTAACCCATTCGGTCATCAATCTCAAAATTGCAAATTATCTCGCAAATAATTTTAGATTTTAGAACGAAAGAGGTGCAAGGGATACCCGCTCTGGCTCTTTCCTCCCTACACAAAGAACTGTTTTCAATAGATCTTTTACAGTCCAACATGTCACCTTTGGAATTTCCTTCCCTACAACATCAGGTGCCTAGAATCCCTTTCAAGACTGATGGGGGCTGAAAACGTACTAACTCGATTGTATGGCTTGCGTTAGGCCTAGATTTGGGGGAGAGTGAATGTGTCTGTGTGAATTATGATTGTGTAACTTTAGTTTATAGTTATTTTTTTAGAATTTATGTTGTGTTTGTAAAAAAAATAATCGTTGATTTATATTTAGATTTACAAGGTTAACTGTCCCATATGGTTCTAATGTTGGACTTAATAATGTATTTCATTTCATTTCAGCTAACGAGAATAGCTCACCTATTAATAAGAGATCGAAGGCAGTCGGTGACTTTGGTAAGTTCGGCTTGGTCGAGGCGTTGTGCGACTATTTGTCCCAGTCTGGCGTGTAGACAGCAGAAGTCAAGTTGGGAGAAGCGGTTGTCACTTCTGCACGACGCAACAAGGACGTTTAAATGCTTCACTTCTACCCAGAGGAACTCCGTGTCTCCGTCTCCAACCAAGAAACCATCAGCGATTCGCTTGGCAAACACCTGCAATCGTAATATCAGTATTGAAATATTGAATCACTGGAAGGGAATCTTAGCAGGGCGATACAAACATAGGTATTATAAACAAATGTTAAGTAAATAAATATTGCAAGAAAACTCAACAAAAAAAGCTCTTGTTTGAATCCAAGAAAGGTATTGGCCATATTCTACCCTTTTTAGGTAGGTACTTTTTTTCTCTATTGTTAGATTGCAGGTTTTCAATATGCTTTTCTTTCCACTTAAATATCTAACAAGGAGGGTGAATACTTTATTGAACAGTGTTGATTAGGGCTATAAAAAGTTATGGCCTTGGTATTTAAACTTTTGACATCAATTCCAAAAATCCAAAAGTCTACTATGTTTACCAGTGATGGTAAATCACTTTATTGTAGTACATAACTTTCTGAATTTGATAAAACTCGACAGATACCAGATAAATTCACCATAAATTGTGAGGACAAACCGGCTAGTGAACCTGTGACACTTTGTGGATAAGAGAACCTAGTAACTCGGCTCCAAATATTTGTGTAAATCAGTCTCCAACATTTTTTAAATTTTTTATTTAATTTAGAGGTTGGCAGACTATTTTACTTTGCTCTTGCCTGTCCACTAGGGCCACAGATGCCTGTGCAAGAAAGTATCCACCAAAGCTAGGAGTAAGCCGGTACAGTACAAGGGTGAAGTATACTGATAAAAAGTAGCAGGATTCGAACCCACAACATCGCTGGCTTGAACCCAAAGTCCGTAACGCTACCGACTGACCCACTGACCCACCTGACAGGACTTCTCCATGTAGAGATGGGGGCTGGTGACATGTGTAGGAATGTCCCCGTTGTGGTGGACTGTGACCCTCCACTGTGGTCCTCGTGGAGGTAGGGGGTGACGTGAAGGCGGGGGTTTGTTACCCCCTCCACTAGCCAGACTACAATTTCTCAAGGCACTACACAGTTCTGAGATTGGACTCTCTGGAGTAACTCCGTTGATTTGCTTCGGCGTGGTCGGTTTGTCCGTTACTGCAGTGGTGTCGTTACCTTCGCTTGCCTGGATAGAAAAGTTTTTGGGTTTATGTTTGGTCCGAAACCATCCTGACTTGAAAGCACGTTATTGAACACAACAAAAACAGTTAGTACGGTACACTATGATATAAAATTATTCAGCCGTATTTTAAAAAGGAATAGAGTTTGGCTAGCATACCTGAAAAAATTAGAGTCCAGGGGCTAACATATACACAATAAAAGAACACAAAGCACAGCACTGATATTTCGTCCTGATGTAGGACTTTGTAAGAGAGTAGGTTGAAGAGGATTTCTATTGTCTAACTGTTAGCCCTTGGACTCTAATTTTCTAAGCTAAGCTATTCCTTGTTAGCCAATTTGCTTTTCTTCAAAATATTATTTAGACATCTTTATCTCCTGAAACAAAATTAGCTAAAATACAAGATCTGTATGAATAAAATTAGGTAGAGTTACTTACGTTTTTGAAACGCTTACGAAGATATTCTTCTAAAAGTTGAAGGCCTTCTTGTGAACTGAGATCAACGTAAGTATTTAGGAAAGGCCAGTATTCCTTCCAAGGTACTTTCCACTCTTGGGCCAATTCTCTGAAACAGATTAAACTGATTATTAAGGTCCCACAATGAAAATATGATGTTCCTCACAAAGACAGATCGAAACATGGACCTACATGTTACTAACATGAATCTAAATTACTAGCGAGACAATAAGCGATATAGCAACAATTTTTGTCTTGGTTAAAAAATATCTAGCTTTGAAAGGCTTTGTTTACCAGTTCAGACAACTTGTGCTAGGATTCAACAATCACCCCCATTAGATTATCTGGAAACAGATTTTCTGACAAATCTGCAAACTCAAAACTCAGACCAACAGTTAAAAATCTCTCACCAAAATAACGCAGATACAACTGATTTCCTCTCAACACTGTTTAAATACCTGCCCCTTATACATAGTATATGGAGAAAGTACTTTTTTTGTCCGATTTCAAATTTGAGTTTTGGGTGGAAATATCTGAGCCCCACTGAACCTATAAAAGTGATGTCAGTGTATGCGCATGTGTAGCTAGAGACCACGTCTGTAATCTGATTATGATGCAATTTGGTGTGTGGGTTCTAATCCCATATCTAGTTTTTTTAACCCTCCGAGCGTCACTCGTCGAAAAATCGACTCACGACACACTTTGTGTAGTGTCACGCGTTGATTTTTCGACGCACGAACATCGTTTACGGCGAAGGCTCTATGACTGACTGAATCGGGTTGAACTGGATCGAGTTAGGTATCGTTCTTTTCGTTAGATTCTAAGCTTTCTCCAGAGAACTGTCTCTAAGCGCTTTATGTTCTCCGAGCCGATCGTAATTGTAGCAGACAGCTGACGTGCGTATTTGTAAACAGCTAGGTTACCCTCGGACCGATGACTGATGTGTTTTATTACGTTTATCATTGTTTCAGTGTTAAAAATCAAAAGTAGTGATATACGTGGTGCATTATAAGAAGATTTAAGTGATTTTGAAGGGCTGGTTGATGAACCTGAAGAAGTAGGTAGTGATATTGATGTAAATTATCAGCCAGATTCCTAGCTATGGTTAGGCTATGCATTCTTAGCTAAACGCTATGTACTGAAATCTGTTTTTTGCCCATAACTTATTTATTTGCAAATCTACTTCCTTATATTATTATATATTTGTAATCCTCATAAAATTTAGAACAAAGTGGCTATTTTCAAATATTTATAGGCCTATAATTTATACAATTTCATTGAGCGCGAACTTCTTTTTTTTTGAAAATTTTCCAAAATATTTTTTTTACCTAAAAATTTTTTTTTAAACAAATGTTCCTTATGTTTTATGTATAATATTGAAGCCCATGATTTTCCAAACAAAATGGTATATAGAACAGTAGAATTAACATTGTTTTAAGCTTTTCGGATTTGTTTTAATAAAACCTTGCAAATGCGCCAAAAATAGGCGGACATTAAAGCCTAAACTATGGACACTCGGAGGGTTAATTTTTTTTTTTTATTATAATGGTGACCACTCCATAAAAACCAATAGATTTGTACAAAAAAAGCTTGGTTCAAAAGTTATAGCAACGTTTGTGATTTTCACCATAGAATATCACAGATCTAGTTACTGCAACTGCTTACCCATAATAAGGGTTGTTGACTATGGGAAAAAGTACAAGTCAGACTACTGATTATTTTCATTCTGATTAACAAAATCCAGACAGATTATATCTTTGCTACTACCGCTACTACCTGCCAACTCTCTCCCAGCCCTTGTCCTGATCTGCTAGTTGCGGCCGTCGAGGAGTGAGAGGTGAGCCCGGTAGCCGAGGCGGAGTTTTCCACCTGCGTCTGAACAGTTCTGCTTTCTGCTTCGGCATGGGTCCCGCCACAGCCTGCACCTCCAGTACAGGGCTGGTAACCTCGCCAGGCTCATCTTGCTACACAACAATACAGAATTAGTTTGTTTAGTTTGCCAGTGGATTTTCAATGTATAGATCAGAAATGCTTCAAATCCCCTTCATTATGTACTACTGTACTGAAATGAGTTTTTACTTGACAGCTGATTACGGTTGGCAAGTCAACAAATCAATTAACCAAAACATAACCTCTCTTAGAAGTTATGAGAAGTGATTGTAAGTAATTTAGTCGGTGGAAACATATTACAAAGTTTTTTTTATTGTTAGGTTAGTTTAGAATAGTATGGCGAAATATATCGTACATCACTCGTCCAAAATGTTTACTCGACTAAACAAATATAAACAAATATTTTCTGGACTAGTAACGTTACTATTTACAAACAGCTGCCGAAACTAATTGAAGATTTGTGGTTCAATCAGTCTCTTGTACTGAAGGCCAAGACAATAACCACTCGGCTAGCAACAAAAATTAAACTGTGTATGGTCTTATTGTAAAGAGAATACAATACAATACAATACAATATTCTTTATTGTTAATTCGTCAAGAATTACAATAGTGTCAATACAATAGTGAATTGTACATGTTAATTTTCATAAAATTCCTTTATTGAGTAGAAGGGTCTTGCGATTAGCCACTTCTTCAACTCCTGGTGTAGCTTGTTGCCAGTCAGGTCTCTCAGGTAGTCAGGTAGATGGTTCCTCAGCTTGCATGGTGTAGGAAGGTTTTTTCTCCCAAAGAGTTGTTCGGTGAACTGGTAGTGCAAATTTGGAGCCATGACGGGTGTTGTAGTGGTGCAGGTCTCGGTTTCTTGGGGGGTTTATTTCATTCACATACTTTATAGATTCAAGTATGTAGAGAGACACCACTGTGAGGATTCCTAGGTTTGCGAATGCTAGTCTGCAAGTCTGTGGTGGGACAAGGTTGGCGAGGGCTCTTATGGCTTTCTTTTGAAGGACAAGAATTCGATTCATATTTTTTGTTGAAGTTCCTCCCCACACTGTCAAGCCATATCTAAGATGCGACTCTACCAGTGCGAAGTAAGCTGTTTTGGCCACGGAGAGTCCGCCTATGTAGTTTATTCTTCTGATGACATATATTCCAGTACTGATTTTTTTGCTTAAATGGTTGATGTGCTCTTTCCATGTTAGTTTGTTATCAAGGATAACACCGAGAAATTTTGTGTGGTTTTCTATTGTTACATCCTCTAATTGAGGGACTATGGGGCGGTTCACGAGCTCGGGACTATCGTAGTCCGAGCCCAGAATCCGGAAATAACCGGTATTTGGGCCGCGACTTAAAAAATCGGGTTCACGAGCTCGAGACTATATAAGCCGCGGACCAAACTGATAGGCGGCACACAATTAGTGCAGGGATAAAACCCGGTTTTAAAAGTTGGGTTCACGAGTCCAATTACAGATAGTCCCGGCTCTGATCATTAGTCCCGGTGGGTTCACGAGTCAAGTCCGAGCCCAAATGAGATGGTTCGGGCCCAAAAGAACAATGGTGTTTGGTCTCCAACTCAGACCTGGTAGGAGGCAGGTTTAACGTGACATGATGCCGGTTTTATCTAATTAGCTCCTTTATTTTTATTATTTGTTAAAAACTAATGTTTAAATATGGTTCCTCATTAAATTCCGAACAGTTTCATTACCCACAACATCATATTTAAAAAATATGTAAAAATGGTAAAAAGGCTCATAAAACATGAAAAAAATCATCAAACAACTTAAAACGACAGATAAATTATGCACGTAACAAATTAGTATCATAACAAAGATATTTTATTGATAAACCCCATGTTATTACAATTTTAACGACAAAATTATGCGTAGAATATAAATATAACTAATCAGCCACAGTTCCAACATAATTATCAGAAATAGTTTTTTGCCGTGGGGAACATCAAGCAAACCGTCAGTCGTTGAGTACAGTTCGCGGTGATTGTCTTGTGTTGTACTCACTGGTCGCCGTGTGTATTGAATATGACTATGAAATATCTATACTGTATTATGTTAACAATTACAGTATGTACAATCACTCCAATTCCTCGCATAAGACCAGCTCGTTATCATGACTAAAACCCTTTTATGACTTGATGAATTTAAAAATAGATTAAAATGTTCCAAAGATACCGTCAATGAGTCATTTGATGCGTTCACTCCAAGGCACGGATTTCCCGACAGCAGAATCCATTACAGTATTCTAAATTGAAAATAAAATGTCAGTTGAACTAATATTTTTGGCTGATGGCACTTTTCATCGAGAAACTGGTGATTTATTGGATGTTAGTAAAGTTTGGATGGTAGCTATTTGTTTGGTAATGAAAGCAGAACAAATCAAATTTTCAGTTCGAAACTATGCCCAAAGAAAAAAAAAACTATGTTTTCCTACTAGTAAATATAATATAATTGTACAATGTCGAGTGTCCAACATTGTTTGTATTAAAAAACTGCATGAAATCATATAAAAAATGAAACTTTATTTAACTTATGACTTGCTTGTAAAACTTTAAAAAATACAATACCTACTGTTTTTGTTTGTGTTTTTACAAATATAAATTCAATCATATGTTAATTTACAAACAGTCTGTTAGGAGATTGAACATGCCGCCCACCTTGAAAGTACCACTTTCAACAAAATACAAAAAATAAACTATTTACAAAAAATGTCTTATTGATTGTCTTTGGCCTTTTCAATTTTCAATTGGTAATACACACAGGCGATTTACAGATCTCTTGAATGTTCCTGTAGAGGTTCGCACTGTAGCCACTCTAGTTTTTCCATCAAGTCCAGGATGAACATCTTCAACAATAGCAGTAATCCATTTTAAAGGTGGTAGATTGTCATCTTTGATTATGACTAGTTGACCAGGTTTGATATTATTGGCAGTCGTGAACCACTTTTGCCTTTGTTGTAATTGAGAGAGGTATTCCTTGGACCAACGGCGCCAGAAGTGTTGCATAAGCTGTTGTAATCGTTGCCACTGTGATAGACGATTTTCTGGCTTAAATGTATAATCTGGATCTGGTAAACTTGTAAGTGCTTTACCAATTAAGAAGTGACCAGGTGTTAGAGGAAGGGGATCTTTAGGATCATATGACAGAGGAGTTATAGGTCTTGAATTCAGGCACGCCTCTATCATTGTAAGCACAGTATACATGTCTTCAAATGTGAGATTGGCGTTTCCCACAACCTTCCTTAAATGCTGCTTTACGGACTTAACTGCGGATTCCCAAAGCCCTCCAAAATGGGGTGAATTTGGAGGCGAGAAATGCCATTTGATGCCTTGAAAAGATGTAGCATTTATGATTTGTTCTTGATGATCATTACTTTTAAGAAGGGAGTAAAGTTCCTTTATTTCGTTATTGGCTCCAACAAAGTTTGTTCCGTTATCGGAATATATGTGGTTACATAAGCCTCTTCGAGATGTAAAGCGCTTGAATGCTGCTAAAAAGCCGTCAGTTGTTAAGTTGGATACTAATTCCAAATGAATAGCCTTTGTGGTAAAGCAAACAAAGACTGCAATGTAGCCCTTAATTAATGAAAACTTTCGAAGGCGGTTTGACCGTAAATATATCGGTCCGCAATAATCAACTCCTGTAATCTCAAAAGGCTGTGATGGATTCGTTCGATGTGCAGGTAAGTTTCCCATTTCAGGTTGTGTGCATTTCGGCTTTGTTTTAAAACATGGTATGCACTTATGGATGATTTTCCTTATAATGTTCTTGGCATTTAGTGGCCAATATTGTTGTCTTATGATGTATAGAAGTGTTTGAGGACCCACATGGAGATTGCGAATATGTTCATTTTCAATTATTAAATGAGTGAAATAGGATTTAGCAGGCAATACAATTTGGTGTTTTTGACTTTGATCTAACTTTGCGTTGGCTAGTCGACCGCCTACTCGAATGATTCCTTCATCATCCTTAAATGGATGAAGTGTTATTAGTTTGCTTTTCTTGTGAATTTGTTTTGAGTTTGACAATGATTGTAGTTCTTGAGGAAAGAAACGTTTCTGTTCATGTTTTATCCAATGCTTAAGACTGTGGTTTAATTCATCGTGTGTTAGAGGTCCTGCAATCTTTGAATCTTGAGTTTTACAATTTTTTATATATCTCAAACAATATGCGGTGACACGAATCAGTTTCTGTAACTTGGAAAACTTCTTCAGTATACAGTCATTATCTGTTTGTTTTTCATTTGATTGAACTATTGCAGCAGAAACTGTGGACTTTCTTCTTTCTGGAATGTCAGTTGAAGGTGTTATGGAAGTAATTGGCCAGTTGCAAGGTTCTAACGATAACCAATATGGCCCTGAATTCCACAAATCAGATCTTATGATTTCGTCGACTGTTAAACCTCTGGATACGAGATCTGCGGGGTTGTCTTGACTTGGCACATGTCTCCAATCTTTATAATCACTTAGATCCTGGATCTTTGCAATACGATTTGCAATGAATGTTTTCCAGCATGCTGCTTCTGCATTTAACCAGGATAAAACAATTGTAGAGTCCGTCCAGTATGTAACCCTTTCAATATGTTTGTTGATAAGAGCGGTTTTGACATTTGACATTAACTCAGTTAGGAGTAGAGCTCCACATAATTCCAATCTTGGAAGTGACTGTGTTTTCAGTGGTGTTACACGAGATTTTGAACAGAGAAGAGTAGTTTTAGCAGTTCCATCGCTTAGTTCGTGTCTCAAGTAAATTGCTGCTCCATATGCCTTTTCAGAAGCATCTGAAAAACCATGAAGTTCAAAAGTTCCCTCTGTTTGGATCATTCTTACACATCTTGATACATTAAAATTGCTGAGCAAAGTTAAATCCTGTTTCCATCTCTTGTGTAATTGTTCTGGGAGTACATCGTCCCATTTCATATTTTGTTTCCACAGGTCTTGCATGAGTATTTTAGCATTTATTATAATTGGAGAAATGATTCCTAAAGGATCAAACAGTTTTGCTATGTCTGAGAGCACAGTTCGCTTTGTTACACTTGTAGAAGCTGCCTTATTGTCTGTTGA